TCAATTTTTAAAAGATATAATGAAATAATATACTTTTAGAATTAAAATTGGAAATGATTAATTTAGTTATTAGATTCTTAGTGTAGCGAAGAATGTGCTTATTGGATTTACAATGATAGTTGTTTTTTTGTTTTGATATTGTGATAAAAATGTTTACGGGAAATCCTGCTTCAATATGTAAGTGTAGCACCTATTTTGAAGAAAATATTACCATATACCATATTGACTAGTTGGTACTTTAGGAAGATCATTTTCTGATTTTCTCAGAAGTTTTCATAATATCAGGAAAGCCCAGTCTAAAACATAAGAAAAACAGGAAAATTTATGAAAGTAATGTTTTTATTATTTTTAATTTTGTTTTTTTTGTTGTATTCAGTTCAAAATATTCGTAGAGTTTTGAAATTTAAATAAAAAACTTATATTTAATTTTTCTTTACGTGGTAAAATTTTTGAGCAATGTATAGACATTTTAATTTTGCGAGTTTTGTACGTGATTTTTATTCGGTATGTACTCTATGGATAAAATTGTTAGACCAAACAGAAATTCTTGAGAACTTAACATGAGGTTCATTAAAAGTCGTACTTTGTGGTAAAAAAAAGTTTTGAGTAGAGGCTAACTGACTTATCACTCTTAAATATTCATTGAAATGAAAGCTTGTATATAGAAAATATTGTTGATCAAACCATTGCTTAAAATAAAAGTATTTTGCACTTAGCAATCTACCTTTTATAATTATTATTATTGTTATTTTTATTATTTATATTATCATTATTTTAATTATTATTTATTAAATGTGAACAAAATAAATTTAATTTTTAAATTGTTCTGTTTTACTGCATTTGTACAGTATATCTGCAGTCTTATAAGTTAATAAAAGTTGAAATGACATCAACCATATAGGTTTTAAATTTTTGTAGACCAAAGCAGTCGTATTCAACAGTAAAAATTGTTCGCCCTTCCCATGGAACTGACTCGAAGACGCCTTAGCAATACTATTAACCAAGCTCCATTCAGAACCGTTTTTTGTTAGCAATGCTTAAATTTGGAACTGATGTACATTGAATTTCCCTCAATATCCTACTTTCCCAATTTCTCATCTATAACAGTGTTCCACTTATTGTGCGAAGTGTGTCAATCTTTTTTTTCTTATCAATTATTAATATTAAATTTAATTATTTCGCCCTCGCCCCCTCCCATAGTCAAGGTCTGGAGACTCCCTTGCACTATTGTTCTTCAGTATGTCAATTAAATTGCTCTATATCTCCTTTCCTAACTTTTCCTTCGATAATAGTGGTCTAAGCTTGGTATAAAGTATATTCAGTCCAGTTTTTTATTTTATTTTAAGATTTGAATCAGTTTTAAGATTTAATTGTAACTTAAATTAATTTTTCTAATACATTTTCTTAAAATACAAAGTTAAAAACCAAACAAAACAAAATAATAAAAAAGCCCCATTCATGCATTAACACGTATCTATTAACTCTATACTAATAGTACCTATTATTATAATATTGTATACGATATATACTCATTAACAAAATTACTTAATATTATGATTATTTTATGTGTGTAGTATACGAAGGTAAGAGCATTTAAATAATATTAGCTAAATCATCCGGCTTCACGTAGAACAGTTGGTCGAGGCATAATATTTATAGTATTTAACAAATTACTACATTACGTCCTTACATTAGTTTAGTCATTAGGATGAAACAAAAAATAAAATTTTTAATAGTAAGGAAAATTTGCGTTTTGGTATGTATAAGGTCTGTGCATAACCAAACCTCGTTACTCGAGGGCGACGCGACGCGACGCAATTTTAAATAAATATCGCCCCATAATCGTTTGTTTTATAAAACACGGGTTAATATATCGGGGACCTTGTAGTAAACCTATTTAAACTATATAATTACAAGCACATCGAGGCCGATAACTACGTCAATAATAAAATATCTGATCATCACAGAAGACCTCGATACGCGCTATGTACCAATTATTTTTCCTTATTGCGTCCGTAAGAATTGCACCTTTAAAGGTTTGTTTGTTGATAGAAACTTACCATTCGTCCAAGAGGCTATGGGTTTGCTTATTAAATTGTAAACAATAATGTAACAAAAGAAAATAACTGAAACATTGAAATTCACTTGAAATTAATCGACTAAACATCAACATTTTTAAAATCCCGTCTTATCGTACACAAAGTATGAGAACAACCACTAATTTAAATTTCAAGCTCATGTGTTTTATTGTTTTTGAACTGTTGCGATTAAGCTATTAGTCAGTGAATGAACGGTATATGGTTTTTATATATTATAGTTTATAAGTATAGATTAAATTTGTTTAAACATTGCAGTTATTGTTTTGACAGTAATAAAAATTATTTTTTCTTTTAGCATTACCAAGTGAAAATGATAATTTTAATGGTTTCATAACCAGAAGAAACGAAATAAGTAAGACATGATAAACACAAATAAATTTAAATTTATTTTATAAATAAACGTTAATCACACAATATTTGATTTTAAACCGTTTCAAAATCAAGTATTTTTATTTTTCAAACACTTAATACAAAGAGGTAGGTATGCATGCTAATCAAAAATACTTGTGAACTTTATGATACATGACAGTTAATTATCAATTAATCTATAAATACTTAGTATATAATTACATAACCAGAGAGGTCTGTACCCTTCAGTCCGTTTAGTTATATCGTAGTTAACTTTAACATTTAGTATCCATTATGTGGACAAAGGAAAGCAGGATAAGTTACAACAAATCTTACTTTATGGCTGACAGCCAAATTCGGGGTTCGGAGGAGTCCGTCATTTCCGTTTGCTGCTAGCGCTCAACATTAGCATCCACACATGCCATAGTGTTCATTGAGACGTAGATTTAAAAAAGTGCAGCTTATGGTCAATATTTGTTTGTATGTTACACTGTGTGAAAGCAAATATGTAATTTATCCCCAAGAAAATTAATCTTTAGGTTATTTCAGAATTACAGGATATGTTATAAGACAAACATCACTCATTTTGGAACCTTGTAACACTTTATTTAAACTTCCCAGTGTTCTAAATATATTACCCAATGTACTTTTACTTTTAGTTGGACGAAAACCGGATGGTTAACCGTATAAACTGTATTTGTCCTCCTGGTGCTGGTGGGATATGTAAACACATTTGTACTGTCACTTATTTTATTAATCATAAGAAGATGATTTGTCATAAACAAATTTTCCTTAGAAAAGGAAGATAAATATAAGAAAAGTAAAAATAGAATGCTTATTTTCCAACAAAAGGCTAAACACTGAAGAAACAACATTAGATATTACAGTAGATCATCAAACTATTATTTAAAAATACAACATTTTAGAAATTGATTGTAGTACAGTACAGTATTGAAAGAAGGATATCTTCAGAGACCAGAAAGGGAATGGAGAAATAAGGTGTATTAGGTATCCATCCACAGGTTGGAAAATGTCCTTAAAACCGAAAACAAAATTTATTATATAGTTTGTACAGATTTATGATAATATATTAAAAATTTATACACTCACCCAAACCGAGAAAAAATATTTTTCGTTTCGGATGCCAGTGTACCCGTTACTCCAGCGGAGTTTTTATTCATATATACAGGGGCGTGTCCGGGGTAGAAATTTAGGACATGCTCGATTATAAAAATAATTTCTTATTACATACACAATTTTTTTAAGAGAAACTTTAATTTATTTTGTAAGTTGTAATTACTACTTTGTAGTCACACGTAGAATATATTCTTATAAAATAACTTTTTATAATATTTATTTAGTAAATTGAATTTTTCTGTTTTTCATTTTGGCGAACTCGTCAATCATATTTATAGGATCTCGCAATAATTCCTAACTGAACTCCCTTTCAATTGATATCAATGCAAAATTATGAAGACGCGTTATTGTCATAAATGTCCTTGACTATATCATGATTCTTCTCATCGTCAAATAACATCTTTTGGCTGTTACCGAACTTACTGGTATAACCAACATGCGATTTACAACCAATTTAATTTCCTCAAATGAATTTCCTATATCGCATATTTCTTTGTAAAAATCCATAATATTTGTACAGCTACAGTACATATTTTTCGCTAATCGGCTTTGGTTCACTACTTTATTCGAGAAATATTCATTATCTCCGTAATAGTTCATAGATTTTAAAAAAAAAAATAATCATCTAAAAATTTGTTTGAAGATGGATTGATACTGGTATTGCAGTGAAAAAAGCAGAATTGTTGATAAACCTTTTGTTTATTTCACTCAGTATATTATCTACCACTTCAAAATACATAATTTGAATTTTTTAAATCGTATTATTATTGCTTTTGAAACCAATCTTTGAAGTGATAACATAATTAGTTAATGTACTATTAATATTCTTACGGCAGTTTTCATCATTTGATAATGAAATATTTAAATGAGAACCCATATTTTCAGGTTCTGTATAAAAATTACTAAAATGATCATCCGAATGTAAACATTCAAGCTCTGTTATAGTAGATTCTACTAATTTTAAACATTAAATTATATCGAAAGTAGACAATTGCAAGTATATTGAGAGTACGTTGACAATTGATAAAATTGTATCGAGAAATGTTAGAACAAATATTATATTAAAAGAACGAAATTGATTCAGTAGACCTGTAGCTACTACGGCTTCTTTCTTTTTTGAACTTTTTGAACATATTGACAAAGCTTTTACAACATTGATTTAAAAAGAAATGAATACCTTTATATTTGGAAACCCATCGCTATGTTGAGGAACTTTTAATACGTGTTCATAATCTTTTTGGACTTCAGAAAATATGTTATGACGTAAAGTTGAACTCGATTGAATTGCATAAATTGCTTCCAGTAATCCCATCGTGTCGTCAACAATTTCAACTGATATAGCGATATCAACCACAACTCAAGTCGATGTGCGTAACAATGTATAAACGGACATTTGTTTTTAGAGAGTTCTCTAATTTATATTTGTACCCCATTGATAGAACCCGATACCACCGATGCACCGTCGTAAGATTGACTTATACATTTTGTAATGTCTAAACCAACTGAGTTTAAAAATTTGATAATAGAATCTGTGCGACATTGTGCATCTAATTTTATTACATGTACAAATCCTAAAAACCGTTCTTTAATAATTGATTTATGTACATACTTAATGCATTTTGACATTTGTTCCAATGTTGAAGTATCTCGAGCTTCATCTACAATTAAACTGTAGACCGAACTGCCTTCATTTACTTCTTTGATAATAGTTTCTGTAATAATATTTGTAGACGTAACTAAAATATCATTTTGTACAATGTTAGATGTATAATTTGCATTTTTAGGCAAAGACTTCAAATCTTTATCAAACTTTTCATTATCCATATAAAGTAAATCAACTAATTCCTTAAAATTACCTTGATTATAGGTAATTTTATATTGCTTACTAGGTCGTGTTCGTTTAAAGAAGTGTTTACGTTATAAAGACCACGTAAGCCAATGTCTTGCCGAGCGCAATACAAAACAGAACGAATTACACTTTTTTTTTAATACTTCCCGATTTTTGGTTATGTTCAAATTTGACATGACTATCAATTTGAGTTGTGACCACTCCAATACTTTTTGATGTCATAAAATCTTGATACTTGGCAAACGATGTTTTATGTGAATTTGAATCATCGTGTTTTTTTGTCATTCCCGAAATATGTTTTCAATCATTGTACCCTGAAACTATCAAAATGTCTTGCTGTTTTTCACGAGATGTAGAAGTAGCAAAATGACGACAAAAAAAAACAAAAAATTGCATCCAATTGAACAGAATATTCAATCCAAGAGTAAGTTTTGTACCAAGGCCTTTGAAAACAACGTTGCTTATTAGAAATAATTCGCCGGGGAAAATTAAGAATTGGCTGAATTGGTTGTTCATTACAATTTAAAATTATATCGAGCACTTTTGCATTACGAAATTTGTTAGAAATTAACGGTAATTTTTTACCAATTTGTTTTTGTGGTTAATTCATTATTTTGTTATTTTCATTCAATGTTCTTGTTGATTTAGCAACAAGTTTAAAAAAATCGGTAATTATTTTATTATAAATTATCAACTACAGACGATATACAAGAAATAAATTATAATTCTAAAAGATAGCTATAAAACAAAATGAATACATTCACTCCGATCGTATCGATATTCGCCACTATTCGGTACCAAACAAAATATATATTATCAAAAGCAACGTCGTTGAATTTTCCACGCTCAGGAACGGTGATCGCCGACCAGGCGACGATAGTCGTAATGGCTTAATATCGGTCGTATACTAATCTCATAAATGTATTTTTAATTTTTATCATATAATATATCAATATAGTTGTTGACTATTCGTGGATGAATATTTTTCCTAAAAGCGCTTAAGGATCACCGATTCATTTTACGTTTATTTATTTTATTTATAAATAGATACAATTATTCACGGAAAAAAATATAATCTATAAGGGACATATATGTATAATGGCGTATGCGTGTACCTACGCAGTACACCGATGTATTCATGCTCTACAGTCAGTGTTCGGTGTGTTTAATAGGAAAAATAAATTATTTGACGGTCGACGACGCCCGTCAAAATTAGGAAAACTAACAAAATATCTGCTGCACGTGTCTAACCACCACCACCGTAACGACTGACCATCGGAGTAAAATACTGTTACAATACAGTTAAAATACAAATTTCAAATTAAATTACACTTTATTTTTATACATAAAAATAATTTAAATAAAGTACTTATCTAAGAAACTTACTTCTTTTATCAATATTTACAAGTTCTAAGTTAACAAATTTAGAATTTTTTAAACTAATTTAATTTAAACAAGTTTGAAAAAAGATATGTAACCCTTCTAACATTGTGTGTATCATCACTAAGTTTATGAAAAAAGAAGGTTCTACATATTATTTCATTAATTTCATATACACGCCTAAACATAATTGCAATCACTATAGATCCACTGTTAACATTGTCTAATATAAAAGTAATATAACAAATTAATTTTTAATCGTGCCTAGTAGTCAAAACACCCCAATTTTGTTTATATTGTCTGCTTTTTTACCTGTTTATTCTTTTTAGTATAATCTCTTGTCTTTTTACCAATACATACCACATACACCGTGATTACTATTACTTTGTGGGGTTTGGTTTTAAACTGAACCTTTCCCATCGCGCAAATACCAAATACCGCGCGATCATCTTACGTCATCAGTACACGAGCTCTGCAAAGGTGCACCGACAGTTAGTACTATTAGTTATAAAATGTATTCTATTTTCAAATTGTATTATTAATTTGTATATTGTATTTTCAGTAAATATGTTGAGTAAGTAGGTTTAAAACAATTCTATGTTATATAATATAATATAAAAATTATTTAATTGTTTTTAATATTTATTTTCATGTTTAATAATAAGCAAAAAAAAACAACATTTTTAAACATGTCAGAAATTGTGCAGGTCTTAAGCCTGAAAAGTTAATTTAATAGTTAAATTTAAATGCGGGAGTTCTGAATTCTGAGTTTCTTACAGAATTCTGATTTAAATATTTTGTCCACCAAACAAAATTTAGATGGTTTAACGTCCGCGAGATGAAATTCGGTAATTTCGTTACCAAATAAGCGTTACGCTAAATTGTATTAAAAATGAATACATTTTCTGTATTATTTAACAACGCACAATATTATGTGTATAATAGATACAATACAATATTATATTCAGATAAATACACTTTAGAATAATTACGACAAAAAGGTTATAATAGGCTGGTTGTAAGTCACTGCTTTTAGTGATAATGTATTTCAAAGTAAACATTTAAATTTTAGTTGTTTTATTTTTTTTTAATAAACAAATGAGAATATAATCGAGAAACGGAGCAATACGAATCAATATATTATACTGCGTTAATGAGATTCTATGGAAACCCAAAAATTTTCTCTACTAAGAGTAGAAGACTTGAAATCATTAAACAAATACTGGTGTAAGAAATGAGAAGTGAAATACCCACTAAGTAAAATCCATTTTAGCTGGAACTATTCCGCCATGAAAGATTTGGTAAACTATAATGAGGAGAATAGGTTGATATAGCATGATGATAATAATGAGTAGATAAATAATAATGCTAGTCTTGTTTAGTTACATATACTTATGGTAATGGAAGTATAAATGTTTTATATAAATGTTCGTCAATAACTTAAGGGAGGGCAGCCACATGATGTTATAAATTTAGTGAACCCTCGGCATCAGTAGGAACTCTGTTCCTACTGGTTAAAACCCAAGATAGATGATTCTAGTATATATATATATATATATAGAGAGAGTTATTGATACCGGTATTTGGAGTGATATACTAGTACTACGGTATTTTCATTTTAGTTGTGTTACTTTCTATTACGTTACCGTCTTTACTCAATTTAAGCATATCGTTGAATACTTCATTTTCGTTTTCAATATCGACTTTTTAGTAACAAAAAATTGAACAATAAATAGATGACAATTTCATTTTCTTGATTAAAAAGTATTTAAATTTAAAATTATTTTTTCATTGTGTCTATTGTGGTTTTATTTGCCTTCACCTTTTGAAATTCTATGTAATGTTTAGGGTGCCGAGATTTTAAATGGTTCAATATATTTATTGTAATTCCACCTTTTGCATCCTAGGTTTTCCGGCATGTTGTACGTAGTACTATAGCTCTTAGTTCAAGCTGATTGGCCATTGAATCAATTCAAGCACTTGAATTATACGCTTAATACAAGTATTGGCATTCCAAAGAGAAATACTTCCATTTTAAAATTTGTAAAGATTATTAAGCTAATTCAGATAAACCATCATACATAGCATTTAAATACATAGATACAAAGTAACTTAAAAATTAGGATTATTTCTAGATTATTACATACCTAAGTTAAACATAAACTCCACTGAAGTCAAAGTTCTTTTTATTGATTCTCTATGACAGTCATGGTTTTAGAAAATATTCATATAGAGCAGAGTTATTATGCCAAACAATTTTCATTATTCGTTCACTAGAGGCAACTCATATTTTGGTAAATATTTTTCCAATTATCAATAGTTTTTGTTCTAGTGAGACGGGAGATAAACTTAAACTCTTTCAAATTTGTTGGCAACTGATGGCAAAATGCATTAAAATGCATAACATTTTGAAAATGATTTATTCTTCGTACTTCTTTCAGAGTGTCTGATACCGCCAACTCCAACCTATAATTGCAACAATGCCAAACAATAATATAAGGATACAATCATTATAATATGATACCAACTAACAAAATCCTTCCCAGCATATTTGATGCTCCATCGCTTACAAATGTAACTAAATGATGTTGCAGATAATCACTTGTCAATCCATTTTTGATGATCATCAAAAAATGATAATTGATGAAACTTGCTTTTTAAAATTTTTTTTTATTTTTTTGGAGGAGGAGCAGACAGAAGGCTATGTCTTTATGTAATTTCCAAAAAAAAAAAAAAAAAAATAGGAATAATTTTATTTTTGCATTAATAAAACTATATTATTTTATGTGAGAAAGGGACAATTATGTCTATTTAATATTTTGATTTGATTGGGATTTTTAATTTTATACATTCATGTAGCTAACCATAGGGTATAATTTGTAAAATAAAAAAAAAAATGATGTAATCGTGTGAATGAACACTAGTAATAGGAAAAAAATTTAATAATCTGTGTATCCTTAAAAAACCTTTATGTTCTTTAAAACTGTAAACTTTTTTTTTTTGGTAGGAAGGTATTACGGATTCTGTCTTTCACACTAATAGAATTGTTAATATATATTAATATTTGCTCACAACTAATGTAAAATCAGTTATCGCATCAGCCCTTCAATGTCCAATTTTTTTTTTTATATAAATATAAACTAATATTGATGTGGTAAATTTGGAAAAAAATCTTAACTCAATACACTTTTTATAACTTTCAATTTTAAGTCATGTTGCATAAATGTACATGTATGTAATAAATCAATAGCATATTTTAGTATTGTTTACTTTTTCATTGCCTATAATAAAACATTTAATGAACTATTGCCTTAGACAGAACAAGACCGCACACAAGGTAGAATACGGATCTTTTTTTTAAAGATTAAAAAGTACAAAAGATTTAACCCTAATCTAAAAGCTGTCAAGGATACTGATGACAACATTTTAATAGACTCAATTGAGTAAGTAACAAGATGGAAAAATTACTTTGAAGACTGCTTAATAGTGAAGTACCAGTAAGACCAGTGCCAGCATGGATAGATCATAGGGCGGAACAGGAGCTTAACAATATATCCATGCAAGAAGCCAAAAAAGCTGTCAACAGTCTGAAGAATTGGATAGCGCCTGGAACAAATGAAATACCGGCTGAAATAATAAAATATGACGGGGTAGCACAAAAAATATGGAACGATGAGGAACTCCCAGAAGAATGGAACAAGGCCATCGTGGTACCACTACACAAGAAAAGTGACAAACTTAATTGCAACAACTATAGAAGAATATCACTTCTTAACATGACATATAAGGTATTCTCAAAGATATTACTAGGAACCCTTTACAACCCTTTACAGATGAATGAATAGGGGAGTACCATTGCAGATTTCAAAAAGTGAAATCGAAAGTAGATCAGTTGTCGGTGATTGGTTAAATTATAGAAAAAAAGTTTAAATACAGGCAAAATGTGTGGCAGATTTTCGTCGACTTCAAAAAGGTATATAACAGCATCCATCGAGAAAGTCTTTATAATAAAATGTACAAAATCGGAATTCTATGTAAGCTTATTTCCCTGACAAAAGTATGCATGAATGGTACAAAATACCAATTATGATTCGACAACGTACTATCCGAAGAATTCCAAGTGGTAACAGGCTTAAAGCAAGATGACACTCTCTCATCACTACTGTTCAATATTACACTGAAGAAAATCATACGGAGTATACAAAGAGATAACTATAATGTCAACATCGGCACAAACAAGATTGGTATTTTAGGTTTTGCGGATAATTTGAATAAAGTTGGTGACAATGGAGAGAGTGTGGCGCAGAGTACCGCAGCCCTCATCAACGAAGCAAAACCCATTGGGCTGAATGTAAATGACAATAAAACCAAAGTGATGGAATTATTACCCGAATACAACTAGGTAGAAAATGTAGTGATTCAAGGATATACATTTGAAAAAGTACGTCAATTTACATATCTGGGGACCTCTATCAGTAGTAATAATGACTAGTCCGTCGGATTAAATAGCTGAATCATAAAAGCAGAAAAGGCATCTTTTTCATTAAACATATACCTAAAATCTAAACTGTTTTCTAGAAGAACCTAAGTACATCTCTACACGGCGATAGTTAGACCGACGCTAACATATGGATGCGAGGTATAGCTTTTACAAGCAGAATGGAAAAAAAACTTATGTCGTTCGAAAACAAAATACTGAAAATCATCTGTGGCCCAGTATACGACAACGACTTGGGATGAAGAATGAACAAAGAGACCCGAGAATTGACAGGAGTACTAAGGATAACCAACTTTGTAAAAGCACAAAAGATAAAATAGTTTTATCACGTGATGTGAATGTCTAACTTAGAGTACCTTAAAGCTACGGTCGAATGGAAAGAAACAAAGAGGACGTCTAAAAAAGTGATGGATAGATGAAACAAAACAGGACTTAGAGAAACTAAAGATACCAAATTAGAAAGAAAAAGTACAGAATCGAGAAGATTGAAAGGAGGTTTCAGTGGTGACAAAAACTCTTGAAGAGTTGTGATGTCAATGAAGAGAGAGAGATAATAAAACATTTACATGTGAAAATGCATAAAATGGTTTTGTTTTTTTTTTAAGCATAAATTTACATTAAATTTTTACAATTAGGCATTTTACATATTTCTCTCTTAAGTAAATGTTGGCCAATGGTCAATTTTATCTGTTCTTATTGATTAAGGCCCTCGTCACACTTGGGCGACGCAACGCGATGCGACGTTGACGCGATATAAAAAAATAGTTGCCAAGTAAAATATCGTACGACCTGATGTCGTGAGTTCTGCACACTATAGGCGACTCGACTAGAGTTTCTCAGTAGCTATCATAGTTTAAAGTTAAGTTTCTTCTTTTGTTTTGCCATAGTTATATGGGCTAATAGTATAGCACACTATAGTTAAATTCTATAATAAAAATTTACAGTATTTTTATTAATTATATTAATATTTCATATTATATTTTTTACATATATTATTATTTATATTATATTATTTTATTAATTTATTATAGTATAAAACAGTATTAAATAGTAGTATTAAAAATATAGTCAAATATGGTACCTATAGTTATTTAATATAATATATTATATTATACAAAAAAACGTGGTTGACAAGGCAACTTTTACCAAGCGATTAACAGCACCAGTCGCTTACGATTAGTCGCTTTCGTGTCGCATCGCATCAGTGGGAGGTCTCCGATATATTAATCCGTGTTTTATAAAACAAACGATTATCACACGATATTTGTTTATGATCGCGTCGCTCTAGTGGGACGACGGCCTTAGTTGGTTGAAATGATTGGGGTCGATACTTTGAATCTTTGTTTCAACTGAGTTTGATGGTCTCCCTTGTGCACTAAGGATAATTTTCTCCAGATTTGAGTAATTAAATATTGTAATAGCTCTATACATTTTTAAGTAAACTAATGTTACTGTAAAATTTAGTTACAGAGAATTTTTCTGAAAACCAGAAATCGTTCCAACTGCTAAAAAAAAGTATGTTTTATTTCTCGTATTATGTAGAATTATTCATTATAAATACTGTAGATTTTGCCATTGGCTGGTTTTAAAGGAGTGAACTACTTATTAGTTCGCTAAGTGCTTGTGGAAATGTTGTAACCGCTACTATCGTTTATTAGTTTATACTAGTGTAGTAATACAAAAAATAGAAAAGGGTAAAATAAAAATAAAGAAAGAAAGAAAATAAAGGGGAGAAATGTGGGGAAGTAAATGTAGTGGGGGTAAATAAGAGGGGTAGTAGACTTAGGATACTAAGTATAGAAGTAGAAGATAATTATATTTAAAATAATAAGATAATCACGTAGAAATACCTATAAGGAATGTAATATAAAGGAGTAGGTATAAAAATGTGTTTATGCAGTGTGAAACAGTCGATTTAAGTTTTGGTGCTACAAAGAATAATTTATTTCTAATCATAATAAAGGCTCAGCCTACTAGTTGTATTACTACCTTCCTTCCTATGTTTGAAAGGGTTTCGGAGTCGTGAATCCGAGAATGGTGACGAAATGAATAACTAAAGAAAAAATTGTAATTATGTTACCTGCCCACGGTGTTGGAACGCTAGGGTTTATACTTATAGATAACCTCACGTGAACCTGGAGTCGTTGGACGGCAATCACAATTTAATTAAGACAAATTAATTTAATCAATTAACACTTAACATCTGTGTGCACTCAGATAAAAAAATGCTAATTTATAAACTAGGAAAATAAAAGGTTGAATTATAAAGTGTATTAATAAATAAATCGAACACGAGAGATTATAGCTGCTAAAAGTCGGAGCTAGCTATTCGAGAGAGATCCTCGAAAGAAGTTGGTGGTGCATAGTTGTTGCTGCTTGTGGGATTCTCGACAGAGTGTTCGTCTTGGGGNAAAAAAAGGTCAACCATAAATAAAGTGTTATGCGTAGATTTGAAATTTGTATTGAAATAATTGTAACGGTACATAGGGTGAAAGAATGATGACGGTACGGCGGTATCATCAAAGGGCCGATTGATGTTGTGTATTTATTGCCTTATTTTATATCACTTATATTTGAATGTTCTAAATGATGGTAAATGATTGGATGTTGATTTTTCTCGAATGATAGAAGCCCACTGGAATTTGTGTGCTTAAAAAGATGAAACAGGCGGCAATCGCGTCTATGTCGATATAAATTAAGTAATACTCGAATTGTGAAAAGAAGACAATATATAATAGTGTGACTGAGGCGGCAGTATCCTCAAAGAGCCGTAACAGATGACATGCAGTTCTGTTATATTTAACACATATATAAATTATTTTGCTTGTAGATAAGCTTGCATCCCTCTCGAATAGCGAACGATCCGTTAGATTTATTAAATTATTTTCCTTTTGTGAAATACCAAGTACTCGGCCATATTTGAATCTTTTAGTTACATTTTTGTAATGATATAAATAATAAATAATTACACAGTTATAATATTATGTTATGTGAGCATAACATTACACTAGCATGGAGCGTCGGCCGGTGGTCAATATGCAACACGCTACACACAGCTACGAAACCACCTTAACCCCTATACATAATATGTAATTTAATTATTAATTAGAAATAAATTATGCAAGAAATGTTAGTATGTGATCATACACCAAAATTGGGAGAAGAAATATCTAAAATGCAGCAAGTTTTGTGTTCTACAAAATGAATGACCAATTATTTAAGGCAATTTACACCTGAAAGCCAAATATAACTGTAGGAATTATGGTTCACCGATTTCAATTTTGAAAACGGATAATGATTTTTTAGGCCAAATATTAGGATACAAATTTTTTGGAAATGATACTTATAATTTTGCACTAAAATTTTTTAGTAAATATATTGAATAATATTAACTGTACTTTTTGTCGTTACTCTCAATAAACCTTTATTTCTGATTTAAATAATATTAAAGTAAATTTTCCAACTACGTTACACTTTATGCGACTATGCCTAATAATTTTATATTCAATGTATTATTGTATTAATCAATGTATTAATATTTATTACTAGTACGTAGCCTCTATTCAATCTCCACATTAACTTTATTTTATCATCCTATGATTTATATACTTTTATAGAAACTTGGCGTTTCGAATACTAAATTGAAATATGATTTGAACCGTCCTACATTGGGAAGGGTTGCTCTACATTCGTTTGATTTGTCCTACATTCAAGAACGCTTTAAACTTTAAGTATGACATTCCTACTTTTAAAATGTCAATATATAGACGTTATATATGATTGTATTAAATTATCGTTTGTTACTTATATATTTAATAAAGTATAATTTAGAACAATACACAATTAAAATAAAAAATAAAAATGAAACATGTAAAATATCTCTGTCGTCTTATCTGATATCTGAGAGTTCGGAAAATTAATGAAATATAGAAAATATCTCTCTTGTAAATACCGACCGTAATAAAAATAGCATTACAATATTGAAAATGTATATGTGTAAATAATATATTAAACCATAGAAAAAAATTGTTAAAGAAAACTCCACATTGTTTAGTATCAGCTAAGTGTATTGTATTAAAAATAACATGAGTTGGCAAAGTGAGGGAAACCACAGATTGTGTTTATACAGATTGTATAAACCACATTATACTAAATATAAAAATATAAAAATCCAAAACTACAAAAGCCGTAGGGGACATACGGTAGGATTTGGCGATAGTGGGGACTGCCGCCCAAAACCTAATTTTTCTGATAACTTAGTTAGAACTAACTTACAAATTCCGCGAATAACTTTATATTTATTTACAGCTAAAGGGCTATAACTTACAATTTGTCCGGAACGATTCGGCCTTAGGGGGGAGGGGGGGAGACAACTTCATAGACGTGTTAGTTTTGTCCCTATTCTCCTACTACTATTGACAAAATTAGGTACTTGCATATAATATTTTTCTTTTTTTTGTATACAGTTTATATAGGTAAGACAACTTTAAGAATATTAATACTCTTATTAATATAACAATATTCAAGTCCTATACCGAATACAATACATTTTTCTTTTAAAAGCAACAAAAAAATGTATTGTATTCAGTACTTTTATTAATAACAAATTAGATGTTTGAAAATAGTATTTACGTTCTCATGTTTTCATTTTTTTAAGTTTCTGTACTTAGGTGCTTGCTTTGAATATAATATAATAACCTATTTTTATTTTCATTAGCATTAATAAGACATGATGATGAAGATATTCAGTTGGAAAAATCAGTTAAAACAAACATTTTAAGTAAGTTTTGATGAAAATATTTTATTTTAGAATTATTATACTAAAGGTACGTTTTTTATGCAGAGTCTAGACGTGGTATGAAGGTTGTTATTCACGTAGAGTCTCAACACTGCAGCTACTTCTATTTTGTACAACGGAATATTTACATTTTGTTTTATTTATTGGCTTAACATCCGATAAAAAATTAACAATAGTACTTAGAGCCCTAGAGATAATAATTTATGGTTTATGGTTATTATATAATTGATGTGTAAAATCAGATTATATAGAATATATAGATTATTACTTATTCTTGCGACTTAATAAATTTAATTACCCTTGTTAAAATCAAATTTTTTTTTGAGTATCCCTAAAGAGGTCTTTCCATTATTTTGTTTGCCAGAAAGATTTTTCGTTTCTTCATTATAATGTTTGAGCTTAACGAAAGTAGCACAGGAATTTAATCATATTTTAATTCAATTAGACTTTGAGCTTCAAAATTATAGCAGAAGATACATTTAATAACAAACAAATCAAGTAAATTAGGGATTTTATTAAAATCGGTTGGCCAGTTAGTCTCCTGGTGAAAATGATGTCGCATAGATGAAGGTGATTGATTTGAATAGAGCATGTCTTTTCTGAGTGTTTAGTCTTGATCCCCAGTGTAAGTTTTTGTATTATAGTCTCCACCGACAATGTATTGGTTTCCTAGTTTTTAGAAAAATATAATGAATTTAATTTCATCTACGCCTCTTTGAGGTGAGCAGTAAATAACTATGAAGTCTCTTTTCCCATCATTAATACGCGACGTATTAATGTTTATCAATTAATTAATTTATTATTTTTGTTGCTATACTTAGTAATTATTATGTTTGGCTAATTACTATAGAGTATGTACTATTAAACTATACGAACAACGTAATTTCGCCACTGTCGTTCACTTCGCCACCAACCTTTTTTTTTCGTTTGAAACTTGCTTGATTTTTAACCTACGTGGGTCAAATTTTCACTGTTTTCAAATATATTGGTCTATAACGGGCACTTCATTTTAAAAGTACCCCTCCTCCTTCTGATTTTTGAAACAAGTATACCTCATCGAAATTTGGTGTGATAGGATAGTAGTTTAAACGCCAAAAAATTTGACTTCGTACCCCAAACAATTCCCCAACATTCTAAAATTCTATTGGTTTTAAGACGCAACTGACTGTCTACGAGTTTTTGAGGATTTAAATGCGAAAATTCCCGTACACTACATGTAAAGTGTGAAAAAATCGGAACATTTTTACAAACTAAAAGTGTTTACCGAAAAAAATTAATAAAACTAATATAATATTTATATACACTAATATATAAGTAACAAAGTGTAATAAGATTGATTCAATCTTATTTATTGTAATTTCATGATTTGTAATTACATAATCTATTTTATATTTAAATATACATCATATGATAATTATTAAATTAATTTTTTAGTAACGCTGTTGAGTAAGTAAATTAAAAAAAAATGTATTATTAAAATAAAGTCATTTAAATTATATGCATACTAAATCGTATAGCAAAAATAAACAAATACTAACAAAATAATACATAATATTACGATCATTTGTCAAAATTTAATCTTAAACTACTTATAAAATAATATAACTAGGTACTCTATTACTTTTAAATTTTATTTTTAATGACTAAGTACAATTTATAATGAACCTCGTATTTAATTTTCAAGCATTTCAATCGAACATTTTTAACCACATAGTTCCTACCAAATTTAAATTAAAATAAATACCATAATTTGTATGAGTTTTGTTAACATTTTGACTACATAACCCTGAACACAGTAAGTTCCAAATAAAAATTAAAAAAAAATATTTCTAAAATATACATTGCCTATAAATAGCTGAAAAATCGGCAGACATTTTTAAAAATGTAACCATATCTAGAAAATCCTGATATGAGTGTTCTGTAAACATATCAAGTCTCTATGCATGTTTTTATCTAAATAAAAGTTTAAAAATAATGAAATTGTTATTTCTACTCAAATTTGAGACTTACAATTAAAAAAAGCTACAAGGTTATAAGTGAAAAGTGGGGAAGGTTCCCGTGTACAAAACATTGTAATATTTAATTATGTTTTATAAATATTTAAAGTTTATTTAAAACGTGAAAAATAATTGTATACAAATTACATAAATTTTAAATCATATAAATAGTAAAATATGTCCTAGAAAATCAATCTGCTAATAATTTTATATTTATATAAATATAACAAAATAGTAAACATCAACTGCATGATGACATTTCGTCAAATATATGTTTTATAATAATATTTCAAACTAGTTTTATAATACTTGTTTCAACGTCAGTGGAATGGTGGACATCCATTTTTCTCAAAAATATAATTTTAAGTGCATAGAAACACTTTTCCTCGGCGATCCTTTAAAGTGCTTACATGAAAAAAGCGTCAAACGAAAGAAATACAGTAACAGCACTAATCATAACACTCATATAAAATAATATAAACTAAATATACTAAGGTAAAAGTAATAACAATTGGTATAGGTAAATGTGGGCAGTTAGGCAAAAACTAAGGGTTATTGGCGAATGGTGAGATTCTGTAGATAATCTAGTGCTTCCTGTTCGCCCTCCTTCACAATATCCCTTATAGTTTAGACCCCATAAACTAAAGCTATAGGAGAAATTTGTGGGACGTTTGTCCTACATCCCCAGCTTGTCCCGGCCAGTTTGCTGATATTACGAGTTTTCAACTTGTCTTTGACCCCTTCTAGATGATAATGCTAGGTTTAATTTTCCTGCTAACTGTTCTATTATTAAAGTGAAATATAATGCAAGTTTATGTACGCGAGTTAAGGGTTAGGTAGCAGGATTTGAAAAATGTATGTACTTTAGATGTACGCACTGTGTGTGCTTTTCGAAAGTTTCCCCTTAGGCTACAATAATCCCACATCGTCTGCGTATCAACTTCCTTGATGAGGTACTTGCAATATCAGCTGTATAAACATTAAATAAATTTGGTGAGAGCACAGAGCTCCGAGGGAGACCATTCTGGAGGTATTTGTATTTAATTTCATTGCCGTTTAGGGGATCTTCATATTTCCTGTCCGCTAACATAAAATCAATGAGTCGTAGGATCATTTTATATTTCAGGACGTTTGCTAGTTTTAGTTGGAGTCCACGTTTCTAAACCGTGTCATATGCGCACGTTAAATCTAGAAAGACCGCTCCCGATTTCATTATTTCTTGCAAAACATTTTCAACATGTATTAATAATGAAAATACTTGCTCTGCTCACAGCAGTTTATATATCGTGTAGAGCCTCCTCGATTTGCGTATTGATCCTCGCCAAAAGAACCCATGAACCATTTACTCTTTGGTCCTAGGTGTGTAACGAACTCTGGTAACACGCTGTCTGTACCGGCAGCTGTATTGTTTTTTAAGAGCCTCAAGGCCGCCTCGGTGTGTGTGACGTTAAAGTCTTGCATAATTTCTGATTTATCGATAGTCATTGAGTATTGTTTTTTACTCATTCTTATGTTGTTATGAGTATTATTATTTACCTTAATTTTATCATGTTTTGCTGGTTTTATATATGACATTTCAAAAAGAATGTTTGGAACGGCGTTTGGCGATACTGTGCATTCTCTTTATGACGGCTACTTGGCTCCCAATTTTCTTAGACGGGACAAGATTTCTTTGCTAGAATGATAGAGTGTAGTTTCTTAATCATCATAGTCTGTGTCCTCTAAGTATTGATTTTATAGCTGCCATTTTATCAATTTTATAAATCTAATGCAATTTACCGTTTCTGGTTTTATTCTATTCATATTTTCCTCAACATATTCTGTGAAAGCGTTTCAATTAGTTTTGCGTAAATTCCATCTTGGTATGGGTAGTTTTTCAATAATTGTTATTATAATTCTGACAGACAAGATTACCGGGTTTTTTTATTACTCGGTTTGTACTCAGAGATGAACCGACTTGGTCTAAAAACACGAAATATTCATCCAGAGATGTTTTCGTACTCAATCTACCAGATTCAAAAGTGCTCCCTTGTTTGACACCGTAAATCAACATAAACTGTTTTATGGCAGCCTAATTAGAAAGTATTTCTCTATCGCCATTTTTGGTCAAATATCTCCATTTCGTACTATAGGAATTAAAGTCTCCAATGTTTACTGAGGGATGTTGACAAACTGGGAATATATGGGGTGTCTAGTGACATGATAGGGTTTGTGTACATTGTATATGATCAGTTTATACCAATACGGATACCACACATATGTTTGTTATCATCTACATACACAACATCAAGTGAGGCTTCTTCTTCTGGTTGATGTTAGTTACGATTCCTTGTTTTTTTTTTTACCAATGTAGTTCACTGTCGATTCTCAAGCGGCTTGTTTCTCCTTCCAGAAGGTTTCTTAAATGGCTAAAACATCTGCGTCAGGCAAAAGCTTGCCTAATATTTTGGCTTTGGTTCTAGTTAAGCTTTCTAGATTAATTTGTGCTATTTTTATGTCATTTTTTGTGATCTACTAATATTATTACATATTTTATGACTGCCAGAGTTTCTTTGTTTAAACATTTTCTTGCATTTCTTTATATTTGTATTTTTTCGGGTCTCACGGAAAATATGATTGTCGAAAAATTAGCACTGAAAAGGGCTGTTTACACCAATGAGGCCGGGATGTCTTTATATTAAGTTTTATACATTTAACAAATATTATCATCAACCTTATTAAAAATTAAATAAAATATAATTATTTTCTTCAATTTCCTTAATTATTTTTTGTAAATTATGATGAGGAAAAAAATCCATTTATTATAAGTGTCAAAATTAATAAAATAAAAATTATACATCGTATATGTAGTGTGTTTAATTGTTATTTTGGTATCACTGTTCGTTTCCCATTTCCCATTACCTGTGGGAGATCAAAGCTCATGACATTCACCACTGAGAAAATTAATCACTCCTGGTAGATAATATATTTTAAAAGAAACTGTAATATTTTCCTCTATTTCAGATAATTTTGTATTGTTTGGTTTCTTTAAGTTTTGTTTCACAAATGTAACCGATTAACTTTACTGTTTCAAGTTTTTTAAATCTTAGAAAAATAATAATACCATATATTTTAGCATTAGAAACATAAATTAGATCATTCATTTATAGTATTTTATATATATAGTGAAATTTGTTCAACTAAAATATGTGTAGTAGGCTGAAAAGTAAATGTCCTTTTATATTCACAGTAAACGCATTTCTCTTCAGATTCTCTAATTTACAGTTCTGACTCGGGATATCGAGACCGGTCTGGTTGACTATTGATTCAATAGATAAATCAATAACCGTGAGTTCATAAGGCGGCTACTGTATATGACATATACAGTATACTTATACTATATGTATTTGAAAATCGATTTTCTCATGTTTTAAAATCAGGATTATAAATGGTTATAAATAAAATAACAAACGATAGGGTATTTTTCGACTGGAATATTTACATTAATGGTATTGGTGTAACGCACCTTCTTAAACGCCGAACTAATACTATAGACACTATGTAGAACAGAATTATGAGTACCTAATATTAAATTGTGAGCATTGTGGTGTACGGTGTTAATAACTCTGATATTATTACAAGGTAATTAGAAGTTTTGTGTGTAAAAAGATCATATTATAGTTCAATTGGAAATTTTAAATCGCAACATTGTTGCAAGCCCAGAGATGGCATACAGTATGAATGTTAGGTAAAAGATAATATAAAATACGAATAGTAGAATAGTAAGAATGCTAAGGAGTATTTTTTGTCAATATTGGATAGGAATATACAGTATTTGGAGTACTTTGTAGGTAGCTACTGGTAAAGATCAGCATGGGTCAGACCATATGCAAAATGTATCTTAAGTTGTTTTTTCTTAAATTAGTTAGAGTATAGTACAATACAGTACTATACAGAATACAATTACACTATACATTGTATAAGTATTATGTAATACTATACTATAGTTATGAATGATAAAAATAACTATATTCATGTATAATATAGAAGTGCAATCTTAGAAGACATAAACGTTAAATAAGATAAACAAATGTTCTTAAACTGATAGCATGTTATATCATAGGGGTGGCCGACAGGTCGATCGCGACAACATTTCGTATTTTCTTGAATTTTTGAATTGTTTTCCGAAAACAAATAAAATATTCTTTTGCAAATTTGTGTATCTTTGTATATCCCACGAATATAAAAATTAGATTTAGAAAAAGGCAATAAATAACTATGCAAAATGAGTTAATACACTGATATTGAGTAACTATCGTTAGGTACATTGTACGTGCCACGTAATCTGATGGATATCCCATTAATTCCTATTAACGGCCTTTATCACATTCGTATAAATTAATAGATCAAACCAGTCCACAATGACAGTAACAATAGATATAATAATCATATACATATATACCTAGTAAAATTAATTTTATCTTATTCTAAAACTATTAGTTACTATTATTAATAGTATTACGTTTCAAGTTATAACATATTTTAGTTTTCTGTTCAATTCTACGACCATTTGCTTGTAGTATCGCATTCGTACCTCGTGTATTATGTGTATGTGTGTGTTCGTGAACTGTATGCTTCAATTACACATATAAAATTATTTTATAATACAATCGTGTCAAAATGAGCAAAATATCCAAAACATATCACTTTAATGAAAAGTGGGAAATAGAATACTTTTTTACTAAGTTGAATGAAAAATTTTGTTGTTTAATTTGCAACACTTCTATTGCAATGCCAAAGAAAGGAAATTTAGAGAGGCATTTCAACACAATGCATGGCTAGTACGAATCTGAATATCCGCTTAATTCCTCTGCGAGAAACAAAAAAATTCAAGAACTGAAATGTGGCCTCATCGCTCAGCGTGACATATTTTTAAAACCACACAGTCAATCAAGATCCATAACTATAAATTTCTTTATTGGAAGTCATAAAATAGCGGTAAAATGTAAACCTTTTTCAGACGGTGAATTCATCAAAAGTATTTTGAAAGAAATAGCAGATCCTTTGTTTGAAAATTTCAAGAATAAGGCATAAATAAAAAAGGCAATCCTTGATTTACAACTATCTTGAAACACTATTATGCGACGAATTAAAAAGTCAAGGACGTAACAGAACAGTTACAAATATATATTGATCAGTGTATTACATTTTTCTTTGCAAGTTAATGAAAGCACTGAAGTATCGGACACAGCTCAACTACTTGTTTTCATAAGAATACTAAAGAATGATTTTATTTCAAAAAAGTAATTTCTTTGCATGATTTCGTTAAAAGGAAGAACCGGAGATCTTGATAATTTTAACAATTTTAAGGAGAGAGTCACTTTAATGAAATTACCACTCTTCAAATTGGTGTCAATAACTTCCGATGGAGGAGCAGCAATGACAAGACACAATAACGGGTTAATTTCATTATGTAGAAAAGAAGAGCATTTATGTATCTTGAAGATGAGATACGATGCAACTTGAAGGCTTAAAGTCTTAAAGCTTAAAGCTTTAAGTCTACTTAAAAGTTAGATCGTCAGAAAATAATTTTTGGCACATGGTAAGCAAGCTTAGTATTTCCTAATTTAAGACGATGTGCTGAGTCAGTAAATTCCTGGTTTGGATCGATGTATCTATGTGAATCGGTCTTTTCGTATTTACTTCATACCAAAAATAAGTACCAATCGCGTTTGACTGATATGCAATCTAAAGATAGCTTGATTATTTTTGTCATCATACACCCTAGAATTTGTGAAATTACCAAATATAATGCAAGCACAAACATCTCATTTTTTGTTCGGCGGATAAATTCAAGAAGCTGTTGATTTTTTTTGGCATATCAATTCGGGTAACTGACTTGATATGTCTTTCGGTTTTAAGATGTTGTAACACAGTAAGCCCAAGTTAATTCACAGTCAGCTTCTTTAATATTTCAACCACAGCATCAACCTCTACAACATCAAATAATGCCATAAACTAATGTCGAGACTAATTTACAACGTTTACCTTGAACTATGTATCAACCACATCAACAAATACAACATACCTATAGTCAAGCCCCAAACAGAAATTATCCTAACAGTTTTCAAAATCAGACAAATACTTATATAAGATCAACAATTTCCACACAACAACCAATGATCAAGTGACAAATACAAACTATGTAAAAGTGCCACAAAATCAAACAGATGTTCAAATTAGACCTACAACATCAATATCCATACATATCAACTCTTATACAATCACCTTCAATCTCAAACAACAGTAATTCTACAGAAAACACCTCAGATTCATGTATTCAAGATATATTTAACTAAAAACAAGCATTCAATCATATTCCTAATTTAACAAAAATATATTTTATAATGATTTAATTTTAATCAATTGTATTATAATTTAATAATCATAATCAAGACGTATATTGTTAATTTTTTCATAGTATATGTAGATAAGTACCTAATACTATTACAATAAGTTAAATTACTTACATTATCTTATATTTTTTGGTAGTATAAACAGTTTTTTTAGTAGTATTTTTTAAAGTATTTATTAACCAATATATATCTTACCTTAAAGTTACAACCAATTTTTATAAAGGTGAAATACAGTCTATCATATTGGTATTCTGGCCGGTTAAATCATCTTTAAAAATGCCGAAAAGTTCATCAAATGAACTGATCAACATTCTTAAATAATAAAAAAATTGTTTTCATATTTTCTTAAATCATAGTAAAATAAATTAAATAAACCTTTTGCTGAGCGATCAATTAATGGATGTACCCAAACTTCCTGTTTTTATTTTTTTGCACGTCTACTACGGCTACAAATAAGCAACACATGGCAACTCTTCAACTTCCATTTTGGAACTAAATATTGGTTTAATTCGTTTGTAAAATTAAATAATAAAAAAATGCGTCTGGTGGCGTGTTTGGTGGCTATACTTTTTTGGTGGCGTCGTGTGAAAGGGGCCTATATCCGGCGTATTCCTTATCGACCGATTTTATTGAGCGATAATTCGGAAAGGAAAACACACGGTAATTAGTTAGATTATTTAATAATTTATATAATATAAATTATATTTAGATTAAAAAAAAGTAGATTAAAATTATTAAATATTAATTTAATTTAATCATTATAATCTATATTTTTCCAATTTCAAGAAAATTCATCTTAAATATTGTATAGTATGTATACGTAAAATCTCTCTCGAATAGTGTTTTAAATTTTTTTTAAATAAATTATGTGAAATGTGCACTTAAAATATAAATATAAAAAATATGCTCTTATAGGGAAAAAATTGCTGAATATGCAAAATAAAAATGATTGCTTTAAGCCCGTAGAACTATGAAACAAATTTCTGTATTACTTAGCTACGTTTTGAATGAAAATTAAAAAACATGCAAACCCCTATAAGTCCCTAGCACTAATTAGTAGTAATAAGTTAAAAGTAATAATTTGTAATAAATATATTAAAATACTCGTTGTGTGAAATTGTGAAATTAAACGTAAACAATACTTATTTATATTTGTATTGTAAAATAAAAGTAATAAAATAAGTGTAACACGCATGTACGTATATAAATTATATTTTTGTTTATTGACAACCTTTAGTTTTAGTCGATTGTGACCTTAGAAAAACTCAGAGGTGTCATAATAATAAAATAACTATAATGTTATTTTTAAACGGACGGTGGTGACAGACGGCAGTGTATTTCGGACACTAATTTTAGTTTGCGTCGTATTATTGTGTGATAATGTTTATTTTATGGGGCCAATTTTATTTAGTGAGAATTCTTATCTTAATTACTACTGAGAAAATCTATTTTTAAAATTGGCCGTTTCAGTGCCCCACCCTGTATTAAACTGCATTTACCTTTCCACATGGATTTTTGATGACTAGTCAAACAACATCATTATTACAAAAAATCAACTGTAAATACTAAAACAATAGGTAGTATAGAATATACCGTTCACGGTGTAAAACGAAAAACCATGGTTATCGCAAGGCAATGGCTACTGTTTACGGGAGACAGCGGCATGACGTCCTTGACAATGTGACAATCGATTGCCCGATGGTGAGAATCGCGTTGGTGGGATTGTACGGAGGCGGACTACGACGCAATTGGTCGCCGCTGACTTGCGCTCTCTCAGCGCCCGGAAGCATATAAGAATTCCGTACATGAGCTCGACATCTGTATTAAAATCAAGCTCAACTATTAGTTTATTCGAATATACCGCCAAATATGTTATATAATACATATAGTACATATTAGAATTATTTGAATGAAATTTATATAACTTAAAAATAACCCTCGATTTGTTGTACAAAACCACGTCGGGTAGGTAAAAACGAAAAGTAAACAAAAAAAAATCGATTGGGGTGAGCCTCGGGACAAAATAAAAATGTTTAAATCACATACGGAAATTAGGCGCGTGTTTTTTTTTTCCAAAAAAAAGTGTTAAAATTTACTGCACCTCGCATGGTATCGATCTCGATAGATAACTCAAATCCTACTAGTAATGCGTTACCCAATGTGCTGCCGATAATTCTGAGCGTTTATAGAACAAATATGTATTTAAGCTAAAACCGTAATAATTGGTTCCTAAAATATTTAGTGGCATATTCAAATTAACCAATCGTAAAAATTGAATTTAATACAGGTGCCAAGCTCATGTACAAAATACTTATATGCCGCCCGGAGAATATCCGCTTTGATGTAGTAGCGACAATGTCTGAAAGTTTATCAGACGTTCAAGCGAGATTTAAAGAGAAAAATGAAAAATCGTACCCAACCTGGTGGTTGATAAGTAAAACCGAATGCAAACCACGATAGCGCTCGTTTACAAAATTTGTGGCTCTCATGACTCGTTTCATTTTTATTGTAATAACCATTTAAAATAGATGATTAATTTAGTGAAATGATTTTTAACATTTCCAGAAAACTTCCGTAAGTAAACTTTAGCAAATAGAAGTGTATTATTACACTAATCTAATATTCATTATACTTACTTACTACTACATATTTACTCTTAATTTGTAAATCATAAAATGTATAAATTATCAAACAATAAAAATTAAAACAGAGAGTTATTTAGAAGAAAACGTAAACATTTATTGTAAATTCAAAAACGTATAAAAAAAAACATAACTAGATTATATTCAATTTTTTTTTTATTAAGTACAATAAATAATAACGAACTTCGTGTAAACTATGCAAGAATTTCTGCTCAAACAAACAGTTCTATAAATGATTTGTTTTACGTGGATATATAGCAGTGTAGACGCAAATAACCTTAATATTTTGGAAGGTTTATCACTCCATCTATTGATTATGTATGCTTAGTATTTACTTGATAATGACTTGATTTGGGAAGCTTAGCTCAAATTTTGTAAATGTTACATAGAGCCATGGGATAGGGTGTAAGCATACATGAGCTTATAATAATTCTATAATACTATAAAAAATTTTTCTGTAAAAAAACACTGTAAAAACAGGTACTCCTCCCCCCCCAAAAAAAAAAAAATAAAATCGAAATTACATCACTTAATGAAATTATCAAAGGTACATTTTCTAAACGCGATGTAGAGGACTCAACATTATTTATCTAAAAATATTTATTTCCAGAGAATATTCCAGAAAACCAAGAATGGTTCAAACTGATTGAAAAAAGTAAGCTATGTTTTTTGTATTTTTCTTTTTGTTTTGTCTGTAAATAAATTTGTCTTTGTTTTTGGTATACAATTGTCTTCATTTAGTACATTTAGGAGATTTTTGATTTTCTTTGTAGTTTCTGAATAATTGGAAAACCCTGGGAAAAAATGCCAAAAAAAAAATATTAGGAATCTTCTCTCTAAAATATTTTCCATTATTTTCAATTTTTTTTTTTTTTAATTTAGTTCAGTTAAAAATAATTTTAGGTATTTGAAATTTTCACTGAATACTTATCTTTATACAAATACTTATTTTGTAGATATTGTAATATTCCATCGGCTTTTAAAATTTTCGAGTTTTTCTTTCTAATCTTTCACGTTTTATTAGGTTTTATGTCAACACATTTTTTTAGGCCTTGTTAAATGCTCAAAAATTAAACAAGTTTATTAATGTTCTTTTTATAAATATGTTTATTATAAGTACACACTACATAATTATATTTGAATATGTAAATTAAAGATATAAATACCACCTAAGGAATACTGATTTTAATATTAATAATAATATTTCAACTAATGGTTTTTAAAATAATAACAAGGTGAACTTTAAATTTAATTTTTTTATGTATCCATCTTCCTACCCCCAAAAAAATGACCTAACTATGAGTATTTATTATTTATTATTTGTACAATTATATATACGAGATGTGGCTATTAAATAACGAGACTGCTCGCCTAGAGGGCGCCTTAGATGGGAAGTGAAAAAAACGAGTAATGCGTTGGGTATCTAGATATCTTATCTATGCACGTACCAAAATACGTTTTCGTCACTATTATAGTATTTGTGTATTAGTGGTTTAAAACGAACGTGTTTTTTTCTCGTACCGAAAACCATGTGTGACGAAAAACATAAGCAACGGATAAATGTAAAATTTTCTCGTTAAACTAAAAAAAACTCCAACTAAGTGCTATAAGTTGTTAAAANGTGTTTTTGAGTGGCATAAATTATTTTCTGAAGGTCAAGAGTGCACCGGAATCCAATTCAGTCGTAACCCAAATTCAAAACCGTATTCTTCGATATCAACGGCATCGTGATGACTGAATGGGTTCCAGAGGGTCAAACTGTGAACCAACATTACTATTTGACAGTTTTGGCAACATTGCGCGAATGGGTTCGTAAGAAACGGTCGATATTGTGGAAAAACAAGTCGTGGATCTTGCACCAGGATAAAGCGTGAAGCGTTATTTGGCCGCTTAAAGCGTTATTAGGCCGCTTAAAGCACTAAAGTACTCGAACACGCGTCTTACTCACCCGACTTGGCACCCTGCGACTTTTACTTGTTTCCGAAGATAAAGTCTGTCTTAAAAGAAATCCGGTTTGAGTCGATGGAAGAGGTGAAACAAAAATCAGCGGAAAATCCTGAATGGTCTTACGAAAACAGATTTCCAGCACTGCCTCGAGCAATGAAAGAAACGAATGAAACGGTGTGTGATGAGGGGAGGGGAGTGGAGTATATTGAACGGGATCATTTTAATGTAGAATTACTTTTATAATCGAACACTTTTTTGTAACCGGTCTCGTTATTTAATAGCCACACCTCGTATTCCAAACAAATAGTACGTGTGAATAATCTGATATCAAGACTTTCTTGTCCGGTTTAAAGGAGTAGAAATTCCAAAATAACTGGAAATTTAAACAGCTGTTTTTCATACTTTGATTTTAAAAATTTTAAGGAAAATACATGCTAATTTTGAAGAAATTCTAACAACTTATTTGGTCATAACTGCTTAACAAGCTGACAGTCCGACGAAATATCTAGAATACATAATATGATAGATATCATGGCAAATAATACGAATTTTATCGTAAATTTATTTTTATTTTTACAACTATGAACCATAGATAAATAAAATAAATAAATTAACTTTTGACTTCTTTTGGAAAATAAAGTCGTCATTCAAGTTACTTTAAAAAAAAAAATCAATTTAATGTTTTCAATTCAAAATTATATACTTGTAATAACATTAGAATTACCTTTATATTGTAGGCAATTTAGCGTAAATAAATAATTTTAGGAATAATTTTGGTATAATCATCCATCGGCTGCTTGTTTATGACTAATCAAAATAGTGCACGTTCTATTTCAATAAAGCAATATTAGTCATGATTGAAGGAAAAAATGTTTTGTTTTGATTACGCTTTATCAGTGTGCGTGTTTTCCAGAAAATATAAATGTTTTATTTTTCATTAGTCATAATAAAGCGTCATTAGTTGCTTTAAAGCAGTTTTGCTTTACCAGTGTGCGGTCACCCTTACAGATAACGACGATGCGTCGTCGCGAAACGGCAGTCACATGCAGTAACCTCAGCAGTGGGGGTATGGCATTGTAATTGATTACTGCGCCGCAAGAGCACCTATTTACTACATATTACTACAACACTATTTCTTTTTAACTTCTCATTGTAAAAAAAAGTAATAGATATTTTATTTATTTTGAAAATATGGCTCTATACGCACATAATACATTCTAAACTTTCTTTGGGTATCTTTAGAATTATTACACATTTATCAGTTTCTGAAAACTGTTGGAAGTCTGGAACGTTGTTTTAATACTCGAACAATTTACTTTCGACGTCGTCTTAAATTCTTTTGTGTTACGAGTTACAAAATTAAGACTTCTTAGAACTTTCGAGCACATAAATTTAATACGGGGAGAAAATAATAAATTTAGCTAAAACAATACCCCCAGATCTTAGTACATATTAATTTCAACAAGTTTATCACCAGATAACCAGAAGTTATTATTAATTTTATCATAGAAACGAAAAAATGAAATTTTAGAACATTTGGCTGTAATTATTAAGACCATTAAAAAGATACCAAACACTGAGTCTGTCCAGGTTATCTTTAAATAATCTAGAGTCAATTATTGAAAACACATTAGCATAAAGATCATAAGTAAATAATTTACAGTTATAAATAAAACAGTTAAAAATCATCAAAAATCAAAATATAGCAAACAACAATGGCGATAAGTGGTCACCTTGGGGGACACCTAACGAGACCAAAAAGATATCTGACAAGAAGCTATAAATTCTTACTAATGAATTTTCTAAACTTTGCTAGAGCATTTTTGGATTTTGCTTGGATTTTGCCTACAAACTTTGGAAATCCACAAATATGCTGATGCTAAATATTTATGGCTGCACCAACACATTGTCCAATTTCAAAAAAAAAAAATTACCGCCAATATATACTAGAATATGAAAATATATTATTTATTATTTTTTTATCATGAAAAAAAACTTACGAATAAATAGTGTATCATATTTAAGGGATAAATATAACTTTTGTTACGTTGGTATGTTACGTGCTTCCAAACTAAAGTGTCAATTATGTCCTATAGAGTTACACTCCCTTGATCGGTATCTTTTAAGTTTTATTGATTAAACTTGAAGTTCGTTTTCAAATTTACCTACTAATTTAGAATTTCGATTATTCCAGGTTCTATTACTGAAGATTTATATGACGAACTGCGTGAGGGTAAGTAAATTCGTAATAGCCATACTTCTTTGAGATAGATTATATTTCATTAAGTACAAGAGCCACTAGCTCATATAAAGATACTTACCTAGTATAAAATAAGTGCACCAAATAATAAAAACGTAATACAATAGTAGGTACTTTTTCGTCCAATAATATCTTCTGCTCGCCAATTTTTTTTTATTTAAGTGGTATTCTTTTAACTTGTGTCCATAACTCGTTGAAAAAAAAACACCTAAAATAAATTATTAATTTATCTTAACTAAAAGTTGACCATATTTAAAAATATTAAATTAGCACACATCATTAACTTATCACCATAAATTTAACTATATCTACCTTAATATCGACTTCTTATAAATTTGTTTGAAATTAAAAAAAAATAAATATTATATTTTTACAGGAAAAACGATTCAAAATGAGAATTATACAACATACATGATGAGACTATTTCTAAATGGTAATTATTTTAAAAATCATTAAATATGATATGATATGTAAACTAATAGAAAGGTGCAATGTTGCCAGCATTAGATTAATCTTAGTAAACTAAGAACTGACATAATTTTACACAAAATCCTGACACCTGTCTAACAAAAATAAAAATAATATTCAAATATTATTACTTATTAGTTTTTACTTAATTTTAGTGGAATATTTATTTAATTTTCATTATTGATTTTAACCTATTATCACCTACGTAAAAGTTGGTTTTTAAACTGAGTTTATAAGATAATCGAACAATTGTGGTCGATTATTAGCTGTAAATTCAATTAAAGAATCAAATAAACGCCTTTTTTTACGTTGGTGAAAACGGCCATAAGGGTTTTGTACGGCTTTGCCCGTGAATTATTGATACCAAAATAATAATAACGTATCTTACTATTTCTACGTTGTCCCTATCACACTAAACCATTGTTACCCAGCAATTGTATTTTAGAGAATTTTTTCTTGTCCATCACAATCAAATAACTAATAATAATCAATATTAAAAACCATTTAGGTCATACACCTTTTAGAATGTAAATAATATAAAAAATGTACTCAGACGACGAACATAAAGACACTTCATTTTTTCAATAAGTTTATAGAATAATATTAATACAAAATGATAATAGGTAATAATAATCAGACTGAAATACAACCAACAACAAATTTAAATACGATTTTCTTATTATAAAATAAAAAAAAGAACAAAAGGATAATTAATATCTATTATTTAGCGCATATTCCATTGTACAAAGATTTATGGTTTGAAGAATATAATCTATTATATACCTAAGGTAAGAACTCGCTGGTTCAACATTAAAATGTTATTTTAATAATTAATAGAACTTAAAAACAACACTTTTTATGTACTTCATTTTAATGTATTATAGTTTGAATTAGGTAATACATTTTATTTGAAATATGTGAAATTTGGGACGAGCCACTATAATTTATATATTAAAAGATCACGGACATCTATTATTCAATTTTCAGGTATTTCTATTTGGTCTAACAATTTTATCTGTAAAGTAACTACCGAATAAAAATAACGTAAGAAACATGTAATATTAAAATGTCTACAAATAACTCAAAAATGGCTGAAATATTTTTAAAATTTGACGACGCTTAAAAAGGGCAAATTTGATTTTTCTGCCTAAATTTTAAATCTCTTCAAATATTTTTAACTGATAACCATAACAAAATAAACAAAGTTGAAAATAATACATTTCACAAATTTTCCCTTTTTTTTAGTTAAAAGCTGCAATCACTACATGCAAAATACGTTTCTTAGGAAGGGAGTCAAAGGATTTTGAATTCAATTCTGGTTTATCTCTTGGAGTGCCTTTAGCATAAGTTTTTTTATTTTGTAGGGCATGTATTAAAAATAGAGCACCTGCCACATGATTATTCTGCAGTTTCTTTTGTTCTGCAACAGCTTTCATTGGTTGATAGGAGCGTACAAGCTAATTTAACTTTTCTTTCTAATTTCCTGTCAGGTAAAATTGACTCCCTTAATCTCTTGTCTTGCATTAATTTCAAGGTTCCTCCGTTGGCCATAGGTAATAACTATCTATTTCTCATCTCTTGAGTATAACACAAATTATGCTGCTAATGAGCCAATCCTAAGAATAATGAGAATTTCTAATACAGAACCGTCTCACTGTTTTAATTAATTATTTAATATTATTAAATATATTTTCTGTTTTGTTCATTATTAACTATTATTGTTTTTTATTTTTATTAATTATTATATACTTCGGTATTATTGTCAATTATATTATTTATTGTCTATAGATTATGCTAATATTTATATATTGTTTACTTACAATGTAACCATTGGGCCACCAGCTCATATCTATTAAAAAATAATAAACAAAATATATAATTAAATAAGATAAGGGGATACACTATCTCCGATTCTTTTCAACATAGCATTGAAGAGAGTAGTGAAAGATAAGCATGAAACCCCAAAAAGGGCTATAAATGGTAAGGGGGCATTACTAGCATATGCTGATGACATTGTCAATCTTGGGTACTCTTAAAATGAAGTAGAAGAAAGTACAAATAAATTAAGTCTAGTAAAAGAATGGACCACAAAATAAACGAGAGTAAAACCAAGAATTGTCCAAGAAAAGTCCATGAATTGTACAGAATATTACCGTAGATGATTATACATTTGAGCAAGTAAAAACTTTAAATACTTTAGGATCAATCTCAATAATAGAAAATAAGATTAAGACTAAATGTGGTTATAATGCAATGAGTAAAATGTTTAGTTCTAACTCACAGAAACTAAGAAGAAACTTTTTATTTCTAATTTACGGCCCACAGCAATGTATGGATGTGAAACATGGTCGACAATGGGAACAAGACAAAGTTATATACTCTAAGAAGAGTATATGGGACCCATACATAATGAGGAAACAGTGTTGTATGAAAGTATAATAAATACAGATATTAGGAGAATCTAACTGACCTAATATTTAAATATTATCTTATTTCAAAAAGACTAGAATGAGTCGGGCATATGTGGCAAGATAAGGATAGTCTAATCAGACAAGTTTTGGTATCTAAACTAAATAAAACATGCCCCATAGGAAGACTATATCAGCGTTAACTAGATAGGTTAAAGAAAGATTTATTTCAAGTAGATGAAACGACAAGAATCGAGAATGCACACAACAGTACTTATGGATGGGTTTAGTAGAAGCAGCTAAAACAAAAAAAAAAAAAAACATTTTTGAGTTATTTATAGACATTTTAATTTTGCGAGTTTTTCTTAATTTTTATTCGGTGGATACCCTGTGAATAACATTGTTAAATTAAACACAAATGCTCAATTTAACAGGGGGATCAGTACAAGTCGTATTTAGTGGTAAAAAAAAAAAATTGAGTGTAATATAGTTGTTGTTTTTTTTATCAGTTTTTAAGTATCAAATTTTAAAACAATTGTAAATATTCTGGCTTTTTAAAACATATAACCGAACTTCACCCCAACATATTTTTCATTAGCGATGGTTTATAATTGCTTACAGATATTAATTAAAAAACTTTATGTACCCTATTTTCCAAACTTCTCACCTACAACAGTGGCGCACCTATCAGCACTTAGCAATATCAGCTCTTTTTTAAATTTTTCAATAATATTGAAAAACGAGTTCTGAAAAATTAGAATAGTGCTACGCTAAAATATTTTAAGAAAAAAAGTGGTACTTCATCCCCCCATGACTCCCCCTAATTATTAATATATTTGTATTAATATATAATAATTTGTATTACTTTTACATGAATATAATACATTTTAATTAATGTTTCAGGATAGAAAAAATTCTATACTAAAGTACAGATATTGAAGACGAATAATATTATGCATTTAAAAATTAACACTATTATTAATTTTATATAAAAATATTTCCTAAAAGGTTTAATTTATAATGTGTAGAATATTTAATTAAAGTATATTTGAATATTTTCAACAATAAATTAAATACGTACTAATATAAAAGTATAATAATAATAATACTTTATTTAAAAAATCGACAAACAGAATACAAATAATATAATATATAGTGTCCCACGAGGATTCGAAAAATACAATAACTTTTGTTTTTTTTAATTATTTTAATAATTAGTATGCCTCAACACAGTTTATATTTATACATTTTTTTTTTTAGGAGGGAACTTGAAGTATAAATTTAAAATTTTACTTTAATTTTTTCAAAAAAATTCAAAATAGCTATTTTGTGAAATTGATTTTTAGAAAACTTTTGGTGGTTGAAACTTTTGTTAAATGGTTTTTATTTTCTACCATTTTTTGAAGGTTTTGTAAATGTAAATATTAAAATATTTAAAAGTACAAAAGTACCAAAAATGCAATTATTTACAAACATCATAAGAAAATGGGAAAAAAATTTTATATTTGAACTCGGTGATGTATGAATTGGATTTTTTATTTGATAAGCTATGTCCTGGAATGCTATGAAAAAAAAATGCAAATGCTATAAATTCCTAGCCTTATTTATCAACATTAATTACCATTATTGATTAATTAATACTACGTGATACCAATAATATTATTGTATGATAATAACTCATGAAAAAGAAAATCCTTATCATGTGCCCTGACAAAAATTTGTTTTGGATGTACAAAAAAAAATCAAACAAGCGCAAAACAAATTTGTTAAGGCCATACAACTGAAATGAAAACCATTTTAAAAAAAAATTGACGAGATTGAAAAGAAAATTATTCAAATTTTCAAAAAATCGTAGAAAATAAAAAAACCATATTTTAACAAAAGTTTCAGCTTCCAAAAATGTTCTAAAAATCTATTTTACAAAATTGCTATTTCGAATTTTTTATTTTAAGTCCCTCTTCTCCCCCCCTCTAAAAAAAAAATGTATTCATGTATAAACTGTAGCGCTAAGGCATACTAATTATTTAAAATAATATGTATCAAAAATGTTGAATAAGATAAAAGTTATTACATTTTAATACCTGTATATATTTAATAATAAAAAGATAATATTCAGTTTCCCTATAACCATAGCTTGAGTTTGGGACTTTTAATTGAATTCTTGGGCGCAGTTTTAGAAAAAATGAGTCATCCGATTCATACAATCACATTCATCTCATTTTACGAACTTTATAATCTTACAATGTTAATAATTTAATTAATATTAATAATTTAATAATTAATAAAAACTGTTGTCACTGATATGATCTCACGAGTATCATAATCATATCACTGATACCACACAACTCACATAAAGAAAATAATCTTTCTTTGCAATTCAATAATTTGATAGCATACAAATAAAAATAGAATTATTTGTTTTGAATGTGCTTATGGTTATCCCATTTCAAGTTTGCTGTTTTTGTTTACAACAATTAACTATTACTCATCTCAATGACAAGAATAAGTGAGAACCAAAAAAATTATTATATACATTGTTTTCAAATTAAATAATAAGTAACCTATCTTTCTCGTTAATGATAGACCGTTTGAACGTTTTTATAATGTCATATTATGAGGCCTGACTTTTTCTCATGATATCACGCATACGGTTGTAATAAATGCGTAAAATATGGTTTATGTATTAAATTTTTTGAACCATCATATCAGGACCATAAAGTTTTACGAGTTGTAATTTTTTGCTGACGTTACATCAGTATCATCAATCAATTTATAATATAAATATAATATAATGCATTGTTATACTTTCTTTGAACCTTTCTACTATAATGTCAGACTCCATAGAAGTAAAAGTAGAAGTCCAACTTTTATAACAATTATGCTCACGAACTATTTTATTTGTTTTTGAGGCGCCATCACATATAATACACAGTACGTTTTGTGAATACTCATAAATCAATTTTTTTTCGTTCTATACCCTATAATTGACGTAACACTCGATAAAGCATTGTAATTTTTTTTGTACTATTTTTTTGACTAAGCACCATCGGCAACAACAGTCACTAATGCATAGCCATGGACATCTACTTCTTTGTTTTGTATAGCAAGTGTTACTTACTCGATTCCAACTAATTTTATTTCATCTTCATTAGTGTCAAATAAATTTATGTACACTTTTTCGTGATATTTTTTATATGAATTATTAGCATAACAATTGGATATCTATTATGGCCATACATTTTTCCAGTTGAGAGTATCTCTGGCCAGTATTAATGGTGGCTAAATTAATTGACATGTCCACCATCAAATATGAGCGAAATACAAATGTTCATAAAAAGTATTCAAGATGAAAAAACCTTAGCGAGTATGCCGAAACATGATGTGAGTTATGTCAGTCAAATAAGGATGTAAACAACTACTCAATTAGCAAAGTGCTGGATGAATATACAGAGTAAGGAGCTATATATCAATTACATTACCTCTACCACCGATGTTTTCCAACTATTTACCACACGTAAAAGAAGAGAGAGGATACGATATATGCGGAATGTATGGACCACAATATATTAAATCGCCGCTGTCATCGTCGGACGAAGAAGATTCGGCAGTTTCAGAAATGGAGTAGGGTTTAAAACGGAAATTCTCTTCATACTAATGTATATTTTTTTTCTAATATCAATTTTAATAATTGTATATAACATGTACTATAGATGTATTAAATAAAAATACAGTTATTTACTATAAAAAAATATATTTTATTTATTTCATAATATTAATTATGTACAATAATGTTACAACGTTCTTACATCATCACTGAATGGGTTGTAAGTTATAATTTGGTCGTGAAAAATTAGGCAATATGCCGATGTAGAAGCTAGAAATGTTTAATCTGCTCCGAACTCGATCCTACAGTCAATGTCTTCAAATTATCATTCTGTCGTCTAATGTCGATAACAAAGATTGGTGCATAGGTCTTGAACTCTGAACGAGTTAATAGCGATGTGACATTGTCGTGGACGTAGTATGATCTCTGGAGTTCTGCTGTTTAAATAAACCTTCAGGTTTTTAATTTTGCAGTAGTTTAGCATGACATAATTTCAGTGTAAAAAAAATAATGTGTGCTTATTATTGACTTTCAAAGTTTTCTGACTCTTGAGGTTTTTCCAATCAATGAAAATATGGCAAACAAAATATTATTTTAACACATAGAAAATAACTTTATAAAGAATTTATTTTAAGGTTATCATTATTAAATTATAACAGTAAACATCTTATAAACATCTAGTACATTATTACATTTTAATATATATTAAATATATTAAATTACAAGATTTTACATTTTTTTCATATTTTATTTTTCTATAGTTTGCCAATTCAAAATTAATTGATTATTTTTGAAGGAGCTATGTAAGACGCTGATTTTTTTATATCGTTCATTTTATTTGAATTTATTGGTAAATGTCTATAGTTTTTTGTCGGTAGTTCAATATGGTTTGTTACAGGTAATGTCAACCAGAAATTATGTTTATTGACGCTTTAATATTTTCGTTAGTTGTTACCATCCCTTTCTTATAAACGTAGTAGTGAAAAAATGATACATTAAAAGATACTTTTTTATTCCGTGAAACTGATCTGTTTAAAGATTCAACCGAATTGCATGTTTTCTTATAATTGTAATTTAATATGATGATTTAAAATCGAAAATATCCGAATGTGTTATAAGTTGGATTTTAAACTTGTTTTTTATTACTCGACTTTATTATTAACTTGAGATACTCGCGTATAGTATAAATTCGGTCAATTTTTCTTAATTTACGTTTAATTACGGCAAAATCTCTATCACAACTTAAGAATGAATGTTCTCGAATTGAAAAATAATGTTCTACTATTTCGAATCGACCTGTATCAACTAAAATTGGACAAAATCTCACGACAGTATTATTTTTATTTTGTTCAGGACAGTTGTCAGAAAATAATCTTAATTCTTTCACTTCTGGTGGAATACATTGTTGAATATATAAAAGTAAAAATGTACACACTTCATTTGGGCCCTTTTATGCTTTTCCTTCGTGATATAAAATGAACATTGAATCTTCCGATTTCATATTATGAATTCCAAACAAATTTATTGTAAGCTAACGGAAGTAAAAAAGATCTTGGACAGGAATTTTCGGGAGTTGTAAATTTTGCATGTAATCAAATGTAAGACATAGAAAATCATCAAGTTGTTTATTTTCATCCCTAGAACTTATCAGTATAGTATAAAATTGCTTTGCTTGGCGCTTGTGAACAATCATTTCTGCTACAGCAGTTCTTTTGGCAGTTTCATTTAAAAATGTATTTTTTATTTTATTGGATAAATCTTCACATTTACAACATGTGTCTACTTGTGGTCTACCAAAAGATAAATTGAAATTCTCTCTGAAGTATTTATTGCAATATTTATATTTAATATTCGAAGTGGGATGTTTGGTTAAAAAACACTCAAACATTTTTAACAGTTAGGTAGTTATTTAAATAATATAATTTTTTGCCCGAATAATGACTTTGTTTTACAGGAAAATTAGGATCATGAATAAGTTTCAATTTTGAAGGCGGAATAGCGTTACGACTTTTAGATTTTCCTCTTTCGTCGATAGGTGTCAACCCTTTATTAAGGTATTCTCTAATAGTTCGCACACGTCTTTCTGTTGCACCATATATTTTAAAAAACGCAGTTGTGCAACCTTTTTTTCCTATCAGATCCCAATATACAAAAATACTTAAAACTGTATTCTAATAAAATTGCATTTTCATTGTGAGATCTATACGTTTTACAATGTTCTTTTATTATTAACCCCTTAAGAAATAAATCCTGTTCATTTTTATTAGGAATTTTATAAAAATGTTTAAACACAAATTCTTTATCAATTTCACTTAAATTACATTTCATTGAACAATTACATAATGTAACAGCTATTTTCTTGGGTAGGATTATTTGATTTTTATAATTGTTATGCTCCTTACCTTCAATTCTTGCAGTTTTAATTACATTTCTTAAATAAGTCGATTCATTTCTTATACCTCTCTTACGAACTGGTACGAACTATTCTCCATTGTCAAAATAAAATGAAATTACATAAAAATAATGTACTTGAAGTATCACTGAAGAAACAAATAACTAAATTATTGGTAAACTGAAATGTCAACGAAATAATCTCGTAAGTTATCTAACAATATACCTAATGACCTGTACCGCATTTAGAATAAAATACATTATTATCGAAATCCGATAGATCGATAGGTACTGTCAATAATGTATATTGGGTATTTACCTTCCAATATGTTTTTAAAATAAGATCAAGTACGAGTATATGGATCAGAAGATACTGTTGAATGTAAAGACTAGGGTAGGAATTTTAATATCAAATTTCGACGAAACTTTCTTGAGTAAAAAGTTTGATGGAACAAATCTAATTTTCAACCTTTTTTTTTCAACATATGTATATTGCCGATTTAAGAACGATGGTGAAGTTAGAATTGAGCCAACTTGCTAGGTTTCGAAACTAAAGCTTTTTGAAACTCTGATATTATATGTTGTTATTCTGTATTGTTTACTCTTAGATATGTTTGTCATAGCCGAATAGTTAAACATACCTATTATCTTAGGGTCATGAATTCAAACTCGTGTTTCGGAAAATATTGTGTGCATATATTTTTTCACTTTTACTTAATCAGGAATAATAAAATGCATTTTAGGTATGCCTAGAGACCCAGCTATCGCTTCTTCGGATTATTTTATTCGAAAAATACCCCTCAATTTGTTGTGTAAACTTTTCTACCAGAAATCTGGCTCCGATTTATCAAATGTAGCTTATTTTCTAAAAAGAAATTTGTCTAAATAGTATTTCAGGGAGATTAATTTATTTAATTTTTCAAGCGGTTTCATAACTCTGGGAAAAATCGTAAAAAATGTAGAAAAAACAGGAAAATTTACGAAATATATTAGCAAAATATTAAGATTTTTTTTCTGTAGACAACTTTTCTATTAGCAATTTTGCTGCAAAATATAATGATAGAACTTTTTCTAATAGGAAATATGACTAGGAAGGTATTTCAAGGAGGTCATTTTTCGATTTTCCCAAGATTCTTCTTAGCACAAGTGAAAAACCGAAAAAAACCAGAAAAAACCGGAAAATTGATACAATATTAAACAAATACTGTTATAGAAAATATATAATGCCTATTTAGTTATTTTTCGGCACGGTTTAAGTATTGTCACACGAAAATAATAAAATTACGTAACTATAAAAAAAATTATGTAACAATATAGCCGATGAGTATTATTTTATTTATTTTGAAAAAATATTAGTATTTAAAATTTCATGAAATAACAAATTTTGAAAATTTCGATATTTTATAAAATATGATTTTTTTCCGCCCTGCATTTGTCTTTAGTTCATTACTGATTGCATAATATGGGTGCACGTATATTACCTATATAAATAAATACTTCTAATTCTATAGCCAAACAGATACATATTAAATTTGCAGTCGCCTATACTAAATACTTATCAGTTATAATTTAATAATAATAATATTAGTATCAATCATTAGGAAAACAACGTATCTAGCCATAAATAGCAGATAAATATAAAATAGTCGAAAACAAGTCCATATAAGGCAGTGGTTCCCAACCTTTTTTATTCTACGCCCCCTTTGTAGATTTTCGAAACTCTCGTGCCCCACCCCCCATCTATAACATGAAAAATATATCACTTTTTTGGGTACTTTACAAAGAAAATATAAAATATCCGAGATGAATTCAATTTTATTAATGATAATAATTAAAATAGTAAAATAGTACATAATATAATATAATGAAATTTACAATTTATTAATTTCAAGACTGGCAATACTTTTCTATAGACAATTTTTTTATGTTTGGCTCAATGTTTGTTAAAGAGCACCTCAAGTCTGATTCAACATCCCAGCCATGTCTGTGTTTTGTTTTTATAACCACCAAGCTGGAGAACCCGGATTCACATAAGAAGGTTGATGAAAATTGTACCAGGACTTTTAATGCTTCATTTGAAATTTCCGGATAAATGGGTTGGCATTTTATCCAAAATTCTTCCAAAGAGCTGCCGTTGTTAAAATCAATTTTGGCGCGTGAATCGTTCTTCAGCTCGATTGCCTATTCTAGTAGTGTATCGGGTAATGTGTCTGTCAGAACTGAATGGACAACTTGTTAGCGAATATTGCCAACTTTTGTTCGAAACATCCGGAAAATATCGTATTAATTCATCAGTCAAACTTTCAAGATGCTTAATAACTATATTGTTCAATTCAATAAGAGAAAAATGTTCTTCATCAGAGATAAATTCATTCAGTCGATGGAAAAATGAAAAAAATATGAGTATCTTTGTTTACTCGGCATTTCCACAATTGTATCTTTTCTAGAAATGAGTTGATAGAATCATTGGCGGCTATGACGTTCATATTCCTCCCTTGTAATTTGAGATTTAGGTAATTAATAGACTCAAAAATTCTGCTAGGTATGCAAAGTAGAATGTAAAATGTTCTTTTGTAAAATTCTCATGAAGATCGTCTTTTTCAAATTGTAAAAGCATAATTTCTACTAAAAATAATTTAATAAATAAAAATTGTATTTTGTAATGATTGCATATGCCTCCCCAGAAATGTTTACACGCCCCCCCCCAGGTTAGGAAACGCTGATATAATGTAATAAGTATGAGATTCAATGTTTCACGTTCTTGTGGAAAAATCGGTAAAACTTTAGACCATAGGTTCTCAAACTTATTTCATCCACCGCCCACTTTGAGAATCAAAAATTTTCTAGCGCCCCTCCCCCCCCCAAAAAAAAAATATTTTAACTTACCATCTGTTATGTCTTTTAAAAACAGATATCACAATTTATAATATATAAATATGTTATATCTTATTTCTGAGTTCTAACATAAATTTTAAATTAGCTTTTTGGATGACAGCAATTAAAACGCATACTTATTCATACTTAAAAGTATTTTTATTAAAACGAAACATTTATTATTAAAATTATTCATATTAATAGTATTTTTTATTAAAATCATGCTATAAAAAAGTTATGAATTCAAAATTTAACATTTACTTAATGTGATGGATGAACTTGATGTGCATAAACGAGTTTGTTAATATCTAGCTCAAATTTACTCAAAAACAGCCGTGAATCACCGCGTTCGGTAACAAGCAACAGATTTCCCTTTTTTTTTACCAGTATTGCTACAGCACTGAATCCACGTTCAGACAAATACGATGGTGGGAATGCTATCAGAAATCGTTGAACAATCGACCATAAACTAGGGTACAGTTCCATGATTGGCTTTTGCAGCCAAAATTTTTGATAGCTATTCTTGAATTTGAATTTGATTTCCTCATTTGTGGTTAATTCTAAAAGTTGTTTTTCTAACTGGGATGATTCTGCTGTGTTGACATTTGAAAGAGGATCTAATACCCGGTCTGGTATGTCCATGTTTAAAATGTCCTGGAATCTTTCTTTGAAATCATTGTGGAGATTCTCCAAGTGTTGACATTAAACAACCAAGTCATCGTTGATAAAAGCTGCTGCTGCTAAATTAGGAAATTTATTAAATTCACGTTTACCAATATTTCTCTTATATAATAGCAGTTTGGCAACGAATGTATAAATGACAGTTTTTGTTTTAATCAGGTTCAAGTCGTCACCTTAAAGTTGGAGATTGACATCATTAAATAACTTGTAGAGGTCTGTCAAGTACGAAATATCATTCTTTGATGTGATGAGGTTATCGCGAAGTCCTGTGTCCTTTGTTATTCAGGAACTCTATCACAGAGTCAAACAGATTGTAAAATCGAATCANAGAACGATAAAATGCTAAAATATTTCATAAGAAATAAACATAACTTTAAATAGATTTATTTAACATTATAAACATAATTAATTAATATTATTATTTATTATAAATACCTACCAATGAAAATATACGAAAATTGTGATTTTATATAAAATCGGGTTAGACATGTACCTTTTGACAGCCAGCGCACTTCTGTATGAAGCAGCAATCGATTGAAATCTTCATCATTAGCAACGCCAAGTTGACTAAATAATCTGTCATTCAGTGAGTTGCTTCTGATTTTATTAACTGCTCTAATAACATAATGCAATGATGTATGCAGGCGTTCACTCAGATTTTTTGCAACTAAATGCTGGCGATGAATGACGCAATGTACAGTAAGCACGTCTGGAACTTTATTTTTTAAATACGCTATGAAGCTTTTGTGACGCCCTGTCATAGCTGGGGCACCATCAGTAGCAATTGACATAATATTCTTCAGAGGGATTTGCTTTTCATCACAAAACTTTTCCAGTGTATTAAATATGGTTTCTCATTTTGTATTTGTCTCTAAATTTCTCGCAAATTATAATTCTTGACATATTTTCTCATTTTTTTATAAACCTCACGTATTATAACAATAATGCTTCATTAGTTGGTAAAGTGGACTCATCCAACTGAATTGAAAATAGACAAGTCTTCAAATGATTGCACAATGATTTTTCAATATTTTCAGCCATCTCATCAAATCGTCTTTATACAGAACTATTGCTCAAAGGAATTTTTCGAATAATATCTGCCGCTGTTTTATGGAGCACAGTTGTTATTATTTCTTTTATTGCTAGTAAAATTAAGTCTTCCCCAATGGTATGTGGTTTGCCTGTTTTAGCAATTAACAGTGATATATTGTACGACACACGAAGCCTAACATTGTCTTGTTTAGAAGCCGCAGAAAAAAGTATTGATAAAGTAAGTTGAGCTACGTACTTTTTTTCACATTTTGAAAGTAAGTCACATCTTTGTCTTTCATATCTGAATGCATTTTATTAAATGATCGAGTAGTCGAGAACACTTCATTGCTTCATTTGAAAATGTTTTTTGACATATGAGGCACATTGGCGATGATGGATTTGTCCGACTTTGAATAAATCCGTATTTTATGAATTCCGCACTGTATTGTCTTTNTCAGAAATATGTAGATATTTTATACGTGCACAAAATGACGAATAAAAACAAAATCAAAACATGGTCGGCACGATTCGACACCAAATCGTATACTAAAGCCCCAGTATACATCGTAAATTGGACGCAATATAATATTATAAAATATAAATACTAAGTTATCGGCTATTGCCGTTACGATAACGCTAATCGACGACATCGACGAAACTTCTAGGAACTTTTTATATCTACACGACAATAGCTGGAAACCCGTGGGCCGCCGCGTCGCACATTACGTATTGGTGGTATATTATTAGTTCATCCGCGATCAGTATATGTGTGGTATTTTGCTTTAATAAATATAGATTTACTATATTACATATTATATTAATATATGTATAAATATATAAATGATACTTTTTTAATATAATACAATTATATATATATATATTTTTTTTGTATCGCCCCCAAAATTCTTTCGGGCATCCTACCGCCCCCCCGAAGGCCACCAACGCCCACTAGGGGGCACTATCGCCCACTTTGAGAATAACTGCTTTAGACAAATATTATTACGCTATGTCCAACGTGAACGCGGTGATCACTATAATGACGGTGCGGTGCGGGCGACGTGGTGAATAAAATTGTCAAATATATAAAAATAGATTAGATTGACGCCGCACGGTTTGAAAATCGAATCATATTGTTTTTGGTCGCGCGTTTAAGCGAATAAACGTCAATATATTTAAATTACAATTTACGATTTATTCATTATACGATTAGGTTTATATATTATATATAGTATTATACGATACGAATAGGTAAACAAGTAATATAAATTATTAAATAATAATATGCAGTGTTTTAACTATAATATTATATATTTACATATTAGATATTGTTGTACGGTCAATATGGAGCTCATTATATCTGAGGTACAAAAAAGGAATGTTCTTTGGAATAAATTGAATACAAAGTATAGAGACAGATTGGTGTCTGAGAAAAAATGGGAAGCTGTTGCCAGAATAGTAAACATAAATAGTAAGTGTATTTGAATAATTATTAACATTTCAAATTAATAAAATAATCAAATTAAAATCAAATTAATAAAATAATCAAATTAAAATCAAATTAAATCAAATAGGTACCTTACATTCAATAAAAGATTTAATTTTTGTTATTTATATAGTGTAATAATAATTAATAACTAAATAACTAAAAGTTGGATATGATTTTAGACTTTTTTTTGGAGAAAATTATTCTTTTCAAAATACTTAACAAATTTATTTCTTATATTAATTGCGGTACTTGAAGCTCGATTGTTGGCTCTGCCTTTTGCAATTTAGCGATATCATTTTTTTATGGCCCTTGGATGTGTCTGTTCTATTATCTTCGAGGACGTAATGTTATATTGAGGATTTTTTTCTAAATCTATTATTATATTGTGTAAAATACAAATAGCTTTTACAATGTGATCTGCGTTTTCTACTTTTGTTTCTATTGATATTAATAGAATTCAAAATTTTGAAGAAGCTATGCCAAATGCACACTCTATAGTCATTCGTGCTCACGTATGTCTATAGTTGTAGTACTGTTTTTCGTTTTCTGACATTGTTTTCTTGGAAATGGCCGCATTAAGTAATTTTTTAACGTAAAAGCTTAATCCCCTATAAATACAAAATACGCCAGGACGTTTGAATTTGGTAATTTTATTTCAGTAGGTAGTTCAAGGGAACCGTTTTCAATACGTTGGTAAAATTTAGAATTGAACATAAAACCACCATCGCTATCTTTCCCGTATCCACCTACGTCTACCATCAAAAATCTCTAACTTGCGTCAGCTACTGCCATCAGAACAATTGAATGATATTGTTTATAATTAAAATACATACTTCCCGAATTTGCAGGGCATCGCAGTCTAATGTGTCTACCGTTAATACTTCCCACACAGTTAGGAAAGTTCCATTTTTCGTAAAATTCTGTTGCTGTGCTCTTAAAAGTATCGACACTTGGAGAAGGCATATGTTTAAATTTTAACGTATTCCATATTGCTTTACACATTTCAATAATAATATTTAAGACTGTAGATTTAGATATTCTGAATGACATGGCGATTTGCCTGAACACTAGTCCTATTACCTACAAAATATATTTTTCACGAGTTTAGTTAAGAATAAAAATTAGTTCACAGGAGAAGATGGAAAAATATAAGAGACACGTATTTAAAAGAAAAAAAAAAAGTAAAAAAAGAACCATTCGGGAGACTCTCAAGAAAATGCAGAGATGTATACAGGTAAATGGGTCTATTACCATATATTGCATTTTTTAAAAGATACAACCACTCCCAGAATTACTGAGGGAAATATCTCTGATGAAAACGAAATGTCTGACTTATCAGATTTAGAAGAAGATAATTCATTTTGTGGTATTTTTAATGATACTCAAGATATTCTAAGTCCTGAAAATCCAGTTCCTGTCCCAGAATTATCTTTCATTATTCAAAATATTTCAAATTTGTCGCATGATGATATTTTAACAAGTATTTCCAATGATTCAGATACTTTTTTAAGAAAACCTTCTGCAATAAAAAAAAAAGAAAAAACAAGTTTTGAAAGTGAACTAATAAAATTGGAAAACTAAAAAATAAACATATTATTCGAATCTAGTAAATCATAATGGCAGGATGATGAAGATATGTTTTTAAAATCACTTCATCCATATTTCAAAGACATGAATAATTAAAAAAAATTAAAAGTAAGTAACGAATTTCAAACTGTGTTAATTAAAAAATTATCAACAAACAAACAGCAACATCAAAATGGACAAGCCCCATTTATACCAACACATGAGCTGTACATTCCTTAACAAATTCAACACCAGATGCCTACTAATTTATCAGAAAATACAACTTTCATTGGTTACCAACAGTACTAAGTAAAAACAAAATCGTTTTAAATAATAATTTACTTTCAAGGAATTCAATTTTTTTTTTATAATTTAAAGGGTATTATTTATTTTACATTACAATATTTTTTAATACATTTTTAATTGTTACATGATATGCTTTTTTATTAAACTTATCTTATTGTTACAAGTAACCTCTGTTCTACGGAAATAGGTTCTTGGAAATTTGTAGTTTTAAGATCAAATTCCAGTGATATTAAATTTACAATATAATCAAATGTATCGGTAGTCATTCTAGTATAAGATCTAAATGAAGTTTCATCATTACGCAACTGTAGGTATAGTTGATAGAATTCACCGAAAACAAGTCTATCCTTATAAATAATAGAATTTAAAACTGATCTTTATTCTTTTTAAATATTTTTTATACATTAAATATTTCACTTCAGCATTTTCCAATATTAACAATTATTTTGGTAAACTAAAAGACTTTTTTAGTTGTTTTTGTTTTTAAAAAATAGAAAATAAATGTGTAAAATATACCTTTCAACCTTTGCACAACTCACTTCAAAATACACTGCATGTAAAAAAAAATAAAAAATATCTGAATATGATTTAGCCGCAAATTCGCGTTCGCCGCGTTGACGTTGGACACACCGTTAAAGAACACAATATATAATGCTTATTTAATTATTTTACCATAATATGATATATATATATTGTTGACAAAGTAACATTATCAACTGAATTCTATGGTGTAAATCAGTGGTTTTCAACCTTTTTATGCTCACGGCACATTTCTTATAACCATACATTTTAACAGATCACTGTAGCAATAAAGTAATAAAAGGCAAAAAAAAGGCATTTTAATTTTATTTAATCTTTTAGTAATAATATATTATATACTTAAAAATTAAGTGTGATATTTGGCTCTATTTGTTTTTTGTAACTAGACTGATACAAGAATGAATAGACGACAGTGCTACTCTTATTTCTTTTTCTAGTCCTAAGAGTTTTCCTCTTTTCCTAGTTTTAATATTTGTTAGCTTAGAAAATCCTAACTCGCAAGATATAAAGTCAAAAATTGCAACAAAATTATTAAAGCTTTTTTTGATATTTTTGAAAATAGTTCTTTCATTGATATCCAAAATTCTTCAATCGATTCTTCAGAAAATTTAATTTTAAGACTACGATTAACAGAAATAGATATAAGTTCTTCTTCTTCTTGTGACCTTAAGTTAAAACTTAAAGTACATAACGATGAAAAAGGATTTCGTATCCAATCATAGTTTGCTATTTCTATTTCTGGGAAATATTTGTTGATTTTATCTTCTAATGAAATTAAATGTTCTTAAATGACAGGTACTAATGTTGTTGTAGCATTATTTGGTATCAATGGAAACACTTAAACATTATTTTCAGTAACTTTCCTTTTCCACATGACAATTTTTTTTTGAAATCCTAAAGCTTATTTGTAGAAGTTAAAAAATTTTTTTCACGTCCTTGCATGTTAATATTAACACTGTTAATATAATTGAATATATTTGCTAAATATGCTAACATAGCACACCATTTTTCATTTTTAAGGAGTTCGCAAAATATCATGTTTCCTTCTGTGCTATAAAATTCCAATAACTCTTCTTTTAGTTCAAATACTCCCATTAACACTTTTCCTCTGGAAAGCCATCTTAACTCAGTGTGTAATAATAAGCATTCATGTTCTGCGTCCATGGCATTACAAAGTTGTTTAAATAGACGAGATTTCAATGGCCTCGACTTAATATAATTTACCTGGTTATAGTTTGATCTAGTACAGCTTTTAATTATTGTGGTAATGTCTTATAAATAGGTACTTTGCGATGAAAAAATCAATGAGTATGAATTATATTTATATTAATTTGTTTTGCCAGTGTAAACCTATAATAGATCCAACCATAGATGGTGTTCCATCTGTTCAAATTTCTACGCACATTTTTCAGGATATGTTTGATTGTTTGAAGTACGAATTTACAGTTTCAAACATATCTTAGTCTTTTGTGTGTTTTAATAATTCTTTACAGAACCAAAATTGATTAGATATTTTTTTGTCATGAATAAACCGAATACATCCTATAAATTATGCTTTACCACTAATATCTGTGAACTCGTCAATTTTTAGAGCAAAATTTGTATATATAAGATTTTTATTTACATTTTTTTTATATCTACTTACATATCATTAATTCTTCTTCGAATAGTACCATTAGATAACGGAATTTTCGAAATTTCATTTGACGCTTCATCGCCAAACATTAACAATTTCACTACATAAAGATAAAACTAATGATTCGACTATCGAGTGTGGTTTTGTGTTTTGAGCAATTAATTCCACATATTTATAAGAAGCAATTTGTGCTTTATCAGACACTTACTTCTTTCCCAAAATATTTTTTTTGTTTTAATTGACTAGTCATCAGTTCTTTAAAATAATTCTGATCTTTTGATTCAAGATGACTATGATTTGTAATTAGGTGTCAATTTAATTTACTCAAGACTATTAAGCTATTTTAAAGTTTTCACCACATACAACGCATAATGGAAAAGATTCTTCTTCATTTCACGTGCAAAATAAAATCAAAACTTAAATAATTGTCAGCATACTTACGTATAACTTCAGATTTTTTTGACGAATTAATTATTTTATTTGAATCCTTGACACTATTATCCTCCATTCGACGTTTATTAATAATAAATTTATCCATTTTATTGAAAATACTGTATTTTAATTATTTTAAATGTATATACTAAACCACGACTGTTAGAAAACATTGACGTTAAACGACTAAGAGTTGTTCATAATATTTTACTTTGTACTTTCAACTAAGAAAAATCCAAGGGGAAAGGTTAATATTATTATGATTTATTATATTATAGAATAGAATATATGTTACTTGCAATGTATATAATAATATTATGTATCAAGTTCATTAACAAAGCTGAACTGCGTGACCAAATTTAATAATATAAGTTTTTTAAAATATGTACTTACATGGTAGAACTTATGTAACCTCAACGTAAACAGGCTAATAACCTTGTAGTTGATGTCTTTAAAAAATTATTTAAAAAAAAATAATAATATTATTTATTATTATCATACATCTATTTTTTTCCAATTTGTTTCAAGTCAAAAAAAAAGAAAAGATTTTTAATGGAATTAAAAAACAATCCGAAAATTCCAATTAGGGAATGTCGGATAACTCTTTCAAAACAACTTGACATTGGACAAAGAACAATTTCGAGCACTATTAGCGAGTACAATTCCTCAGAGACTGTGACGTCTCCAAACAGAAAACGATCTAAGAAATCGTTTAAAGACGCGTTCGATGATTTACATCGAAACACTGTGGTGACAATATCGTCTTTTAAAAAAAAAAAATAATTAATTATTTTGATTGGAGTTACTGTTTCATTAGTAAAGTGAAGAATACAATAAAAAATTTATAATAGTCACATAGTTTATTAATTTTACTGTCACATGATATTATAACTACAACACAATGAATACTCAAAAGTATTTATAACTTTACTATCAAACATCTCCCCTTTTTCTTATTTAAAACATTGACACATTAAATACAATACATCAATATTTTAACTTAACTTAACATATATAATTTCTACAATATTAAATAAAAATTGAAATACATATTTTTTTAAATATTACATACCCAATATATTATTTTTTTATTTTTACAAACAAAAACAAACATTTGAAATAAGTTCCATTAATACAACATTAAAATTAGCTTAGATGTATAAGCTAGATAGTTAAGTATATCAAGCTAAAATGTTAATAATATTACAAATATTAATAACTTCAAGCTTTCTTCAAATGTCCAGTTTCACTGGTTTTTAACCATTCTACTTGACAATGTTACTACTAATTTTGGTGTGGGTATTCTACTTTTTTGTTTTCAATTATCACTGTTACTTACAGATTTTGCTTGGTTCCTAGACTTTCCCTCATCAAACTCTAACTCATTTTTCCTTCTGATATTAATCAAATTTCTTCTAAGAATTGTACCATTTTCCAGTTGTATCCAATAAGATGTAGGACTTTTGAGTTTTCTAACTAGTACTCCTTATATAAACTTAATTTAAAACTAAAATTAATAAACCCATGCAAAGGAATATGAATACTTTTTTTTTTTTTAATGAATCAATCTATATACAAATTTAGCATTAATGAGTTATGTGAAAATTATAAAATAATAATTGGATGCATTTTTTTCAATTATATGTACAATGTGTTTTAAAATAAGTTTATTTATTATTGTAACTATAAGGTAATACTTTTACGAATTTAAAAATAAGATATATTAAATAAATAGCTTATAATAAATTTTAAAGAAAAACATTAAATAAATAAATATTCAATCAAAGAGCACAGAAAATAACACTTGTGTTCAGTAAAGCTCCATTACCATTAGAGTTGAATCCTCCACTAATGTTGTTATACAGAAGTAATCTTTGTAAAACAATAATTGACAATTATATTACAATACTATAATATGCTTCCAAAAAAAGTTGTACAATTTTAGCACAAAAATGATGAAAATTCAAACCCTTAAAAGGTACACCTATAATATTACCCCAACATAATAATGTATAGGTACATAATTTCATCTCCCTAGCTTTATTTGTGGAGGGTCTGCATAAGGACATACATACCCCCAGCAATATGGTGAAATTTATATTGAATTCAATCAGGTTTTTACCACTACAATCCACCTAAAAAAACTTTAATTCATAAGTTCAAACTTATTAAAGTAGAGGGAAAAGACATATATAAGTTTATTAGACATAATGCAGTGCAATAAATAATTATATATTTTCAAATAAATTTAACAAAAATTAACTAGTTGATAATTAAAAATCAAAATAATTAGATATTATTAACTATTTATTAAATCTATGTGCCTTACCAAGAAAAACATATTTACCTATTTCATCAACATATATATTTATTAAAATATTTTAAAATCAAATACCTATCTAATTTTTAAATTGGTTTTTTTTCACGTAGATAATTAAATGATTTAAACCTATTAGACAATCATATATCTAATGAACTTATGATCTTGTTTAACTAGGTGAATTTGAACGGCTTCTTGAACTATAACTATGAGAACGTGAACGCGATCTAGAATTAGAACATGAATGACGCTCACGAGATCTGGATCTAGAGTACCAACGAGTTCTGTGTGAATGATACCTAAATTGTTCAAAAAATAAAATGGAATTATCTGGTGTTAAATTTGAATACGTAACAACTACAATTAAATAGGTAGCATGTAATGATAATTGTGATTTCCAAAAAGCCACTACATTACAGGTGTTTTGTAATTCATTTCTTGTAATCATGAATCTGGTTGAGTCTCCCAAATTATTTATTTTATAGTTTTAATATTATATATCTAAGACTTATGCAATAATAGAGTAGAACTTATGGACCAGTTATTTAAATTATTACTAAATATTTATAAAAATTCGGTTGTTAAATTTAGAAAAATGAAGTTACTACTAATTCAAAGATACATGATACATACTTCATATAAATAGTTTTATTCATCAGCCAGCGGGTATTTGTTATAAATTCTAATTTTGTTTATTCTCTATTCTTTCGATAAAATGCTAAAAAATTTCTAAAATTTAGAGCAGTAGTAAATTTAGCTTAATTTTACTTTTTTCATTAGTGTTCGGGAAATAAACTGATAATTAAATGTTTGAATTATTAATTTATCTCATAAGTATAGGTATTTACTGTACAATTATTTTTGAAACTTTTGACTTTAGAGCTCTAAATTATATCTTAAAAATGTGTCAATTTTCATTAGGTTGCTTTATTTTTAAACTGGTATGTCTTTAATATTACTAAATTTTTTCAGACCTAACAATTTATCTATATTTATAGCATGCTTACATGTTTTAAAAAAGCAACCATTTTTTTTTTCTTGTTTTAGAATCTGAGTGTAGCGAAGAATGTATTGGTTTTACTGTGACAAAAATTTCGACCAGAAATCACGCATCGATACGTATGTGTGGTACCATTTCTAAAAGAAAATATTTTCTAAATAGTACTTCAAAAAGGTCTTTTTTTTATTTTCTAGGTGATTTTTATAATATCTGGGAAACCCTGTAAAATGTAAGAAAAACGAGAAATTTACGAAAATTCTTTTTATTATTTTCAATTGTGTATTTGTTATTCAGTTAAAAATATTCGTATGGAATTTTATGGACTTGAAATTTTAACAAAAATTTGTATTTACCATTTCTAGACACGGTAAAATTTGTTTAGGTGTTGTTGAGCTATTTATAAATATTTTAATTTTGCAAGTTTTTCCTTTTCTTTATTCGGCAGGTACTCTGTGGTATAATTGTTAGACTAAATAGAAATACTTGAAAATGTTCCAGGAGGTTTATAAATAGTCGGATTTTGTGGTCAGAAAAATAAAATTTAGCTTAATGTAATATTTTTTTTTTTTTTTTTTTAATTAATTTTAAAATTAAACTTTGATGAAAATCATTTGAGTAAAAAATTATGTGGGGCAAATCTAAATCTGATTTTTCAATTTTATATTTTGAACATAAATTGTATATTGCCAATTTAGGAAAGTCGGTGAAGTCAAAATTGAGCAGACTGACTTAGTTTTGAAATTATAGCTTTTTGAAATTCTAATATTATAAGGATAATATATGTTATGTTAAATAACTCTACATTGTCAATTTTAAAATATTTCGTCATAGTCTAATGGTGATACATATCTGTAGATCTCTATAGCCTTTCTAGAGATCCTGAGTTCAAATCAGAGTTTCGTAAAAATTGTTTGCATTATTTTGTTTTTTCCTTTTACTTTTCTACTAGAAATATTATTTCACTGTATTAATTGTAGCAAATATTTTGAAAAGAAATTTTATCTACTTGGTACTTTAAGGTCATTTTTTTGATTTTCCAAACGGTTTTCATAATATCTAGGAAAAACATGGAAAAAATAGGAAAATAGGTGCAATATTAAACAAGTATTATTAAAGAAAATATATCATCCATATGTTATTATTTACAACAATGCGACACTTTCATCCTTATTTTCGGTTTTTCAGGAAAATTCTATATTGTATTCTTATATTTTTTAATTAAGTTTTTAGAAGTAGCCTCACAAAAAAATGTGAAATTATGAGATTGTTTCAATATTAGAACCCGACAATGTAACCGAACACAATTATTTAAGTAAATTTGACCACATCCTTCCAAAGTTATACTTATCACTTAACATGCAATAATGAATAATTTTTCATAACAAGTTGGATGTTGTATAACTGAGAGAAAAAAATGTCTTTCCAAAGGTGTAAGTGTAGGATTTGCTATCTTGTTGGCCGATATCGCTTTCTAGTGAAATTAAAAACTTAAATGTAAATAATTAACAAAAAAAACAAATTACTATACATACTTAATATCTTAATTATTATAATGTAATAATGAACCTTTCAATATAATATTCTGAATCTGAAAATTTGAACAGTCAATAGTTTTGTTAACTGTTCAAATTATTCACTTAAGATAAGGAGAAAAACTGCATGTATACATATATTTGCATACATAAATATTTAGATACAGCATTTGACATAATAAAGTTTGGGATAAAACCTTTAAATAATGTAATATCATAAGAAAAAAAAAATAATAAACATATCAAAACCAAAACATTTGCTACCCTCAGAATCTAAAATATATATCTTATAAGATTTCAATGTCATAAGGGCTCGATTTTTTATGTAAATGTATATTATTATTATATACTTAATAAATTATATTTCTTTAATTAATAAATATATGTATATGTATATTTTTATTTTTTGGTTATTTGAGTAAAAATGACCATGCTACATTTCTAAATAGTTACAATATTATGTACAGATTAATCATTTATTAAAAAAAAAATCTAAATTTTGATCAGTTATACAATCATAAATTTATATTCGATAGTAAAATTTAAAAAAGCGCTAATAATATTACTTTGATTACTTTAATAGTAATTATTATTTAATAATAAATAGGTTACAACAACAACCATTTATAGAAGGACCGTCAGTATTAAGCATTATAGGTATTATGTAATACAATAGATAGGTAAAATGTTAAGTAAAAATATATAGTAAATAGCATATAGTATACATGAGTACTGGTAACTTAAATATAATATAATTATTAGTATGGTAATATTAATAACTACATAGTTATATGTTTATACATTTTTGTTAGTTGTTTTTTTACTAAATTAATTGATATCAAACTATTTTTATATCTAATATGTAGCTTTGATAATAGTTTTCCTCCTTGCAGTTTGTTGAAGTTGATTTTTGTCAAAGCTTCTTTGAAATTAATTTGAATATCTAAAAATAGACTTATTTTGATTTGTTCCCAATTGCAAATTATATTTCAAAATTATAGATAGGTACATCAACAAATGTACTAGCTATTATAATATTGACATTTTACTATATCCTTTCATCCTTATTTTATGATTTCCTTTCAAGATAGCAAATTAGCATAAGATTTTTAAATATATCCAACAAAGTTCAAATTATTTAGCTAAAAATATTTCTAGTTAATTTAAATTATCTTAAACCACCAATATGCTAAATTTTAGTATTAACAAAATCTGGCTGGAACATTTTTATGTTGTAACCTGATTGTAAGGTTACCTCACTCATGTATTTTTTATTTATTAATTAACAATTATTATCAATAAGTAATATATAACTAATTTTGTATTACCTATATTAATTGGAAATTTTGTTTTAGGAAATGACCAATTTTGATAATGTTTTTTTGAATTTTATTTAATTGTTTGGCTTCAAAATTTTTTTAAAAACAATTAGACTTTATGTCTCTCCTTAAAATGTGAAGAACACATGCTAAACTATGTTTAAGAACAGTTTTCAATGCATTTTCCTGTTTATTTTTTTCATATTCATTTTTAATTTTTGAAACTTAAGAAAAAAATAAAATACTATTACTGCTGTTTCAATTCGTATTTAACATGTAAATTTTCGCGGGAAATCTAGTTGTGTACAAATAATTAAATATTTATATATGTACGTTATAATAGTCTGCATTATATCAATAACGGTGGTACAAGCGGTAATGGCGTGACAGGCTATTATTTTAGTCAAATGATTTTTAATAACATTCCGGCCCGGTGTATTGTGTTGTTAAGTATAAGTCGTTCCCCAATCATATTACTATCTATAGCCATGGCTTTACCTAATCGATAACATAGATATCATAAGCCTTACCGACTGTATGTAGTAGAAATTATCAGTTATACTTATAACCTTTATGCATACCTCGGGAGCTTTTACAATTAAAACTCACGGTGTAATACATAAAACTGTCAATGTAACGAAATTCGTTAGGAATTTTAATTTAACCATACTATACTACCCCAGCCAAAATTTAAAAGTGGAATATCTCGTCAACGGGATGACGGAAATCAAACATTTTAACACCAAAATTTATTTAAGGTATTTCCAAAATAGATTGTCATTTGAAAATCAAAAGTAGGTAGTTGTTTCACCCTTAAAAATAAGAAGTATACAAATTTGATAACGTAACATTTTATAACTATTTGTTTCTTAAATTTTCAAAAAAAATTTCGAAAAAAGCTAATACTTTTCGAGATAATGAGTGTTTCCAGTTAAGTGAATCCCCATGTATATGTCATATTATGGTAAAATAATTATATTTGTATTAAATATTTTCTTTCACATTATTTTTTTTAAAAATACACTGATTTTTCCTGGTTTTCCCATGTATTATCCAGGTTTTTAATTTTTGCTGGGAAAATCGAAAAATTACCTCTCTAAAGTACCACCTCAAAAAAATTTTCTTTCAGGAAAAGGTCTAAACCGAACCGTATACATCGGAGTAAGCTTTCTGTTAGAAAAAATGTTCACATAAAAAAAAAAATAAATAAACTTCTTTGTAAAATACATTCATTCTTTGCGCCACTTGACATCTAAAAAGACGGTGATATGTACCAGGTGATCCATTTAAGTGGATACATTTATTATCTCGGAAAGTATTAACTATTTTCGAAATTAGTTTTCTAGAATATTTAAAAATCAAGCAGCTCTAAAATTTTATATTTATGTTATTTTTGTCACCTTTATTTTTGTGAGTAAAACGACTACCTAATTTTGATTGTTTGGATCGGAGGAAAGTATTAGAGTATTATTTGTGTGGCGGTACCCTCGCGTTGTGTTAACAATGCACTACTTCCCTCATCCAACCTAAAATTAAAAGTGAAAAATCTCGTCATAAATCTCGTCGTTTGACAAAAATCAAAAATTTCAATATTTAAATTTATTAAATTTATTATATAAACCCCCAGAGCTTTTTTTTTCGTCTGTTAGCAAATAATAATAAAGTTAAATTAAGTTCAAATCAGTTAAGTTTAGTTAAATTTAAATAAAGTTGATAATTAAAAGTAAATTTAAAATAATCTATCAATTAAAATTAATTTAAAATTTAAAATTAACTTAATTAGCTAATTAATTAAATAGTTATTTTTGACTCAAGTTAAGTTAGTAAAAAAAAAAAAAATGTCATATTGACTATTACCTAATATCATGGCCTAATAATCTACTTACAACTCCCAACCGGTGACGACAGTAACAAATAACAGTTCGTATTTTAAAATATCCATAATATATTGTTAATAATAATAATAATATATGTATTTATATGAACATACAATTTAAATTTTATATCAATTTAATTTGTTTAAATTTAAAATTAACTCTAGTTAATTAAAAGTTAATTATTTTGTATTCCACAATTTAAAAATTAAGTTGATAGTTCAAAACAAAATAATTCCTAAAGTTAAAAAGTTAAATTAATTTAACTTGTTAATGTACAATCTTGGGTATATATAGTATTTTAGATAGTTTGGAGTTTGATAACTTCAGTTTGCAGTATTTTAATTGTCGAAGAAGTGGTCAAGTGAAACATTAAATTAAATAATATTTTTAATAATGGAAATATTAAAAATGTATAAGTATTATACCTTCTTTGGCTTCTTTTAATAGGCAAAGTTGGGCGGCCGTAACGAGCAATTTGAACTCGTATATGCCTACCATCAACTACATGACCTTGCAACATTTCTATCGCGTTGTCCGCGTCTTGTTGGTCCAAAAATCTAAAATAATATGAGTATTATACAAAATAACCTAACCACATACTTATTATTATGCTCAATTTATATTGCTACCCACAAATTAATATTACTATTACTAATTACAATCTACCGAAAATTGTCTTTCATATTATAGTTAAGTACTTTGAAAATAGTTTTATCGAGTTTATGTTATACTTTAACAGTGTATATTATTAAATATACCTCAAGTTAAGAATTAAGTTAATAGTTTAAAAAAAAAAAATGAATTTATTAAGTTAAAATGTTAAATTAGCTTAACTTTAATTTATTAAATCGTTAATACCCATCCTTGATATTTATTCGTAAATGTTAATATAGGTATATACAATTTTATTTAGCTTAAAAAGACACTATTTTAAAATTACATTACTATTAAATTATTTAGGTCATTTAAGTATCATGGTTAATCTAAAATTCAATAATAAATTTTGTATCAATAAATTATTATTGTTTGGCTTTAGTTCTTTTTTAGTAAATTTAGATCGGCTGTTTCTCGTAAGATACGGTACCTATAGTACCTAATGATTAATACATCCCTGACGTTGACCCAATATTCATCAAATAAGCAAGCACTGTGCAACTCATAGACTACGTATGATAATATTCATATGGAGTTCAATATCATACTTATATTGTATAGAAAATATTCATTTTTATAAATCTAAATTGTATATCAATAATCTTTGCTGTTAATATTATAATATTTAATAAAATAATAAAATAAAACAAAATTATTAATTTTAATGAAGTCTACGGATTCATTAATTAATTAATTTTATTTTCATATATATATATATTTATTTACTTTATTGAGTTATAATATTATTATAATTTATTATAATGCACTTGGAAACGCCTTCCAAAACCATTACATCAAACCTAATACCCATAGAAAAAGCTTCTTATGCTGTAAATATTTTAAAATTACCTGACAAAAGCGAATCCTCTGCTTTCGTGAGTGAATTTATTTCGAGGAATGTAAATGTCACCGATTTTACCGAAACGTTCGAACACCTGTTTCAGATCTACTATCGTAGTCCTGCGTGTGAGATTGTCAACTTTTAACGATATCATGTTTTCGATATTCAGTAGTGGCTTACTGTGGCTCATATTGCAAATCGCTGTGTTTATTTTTGTACGTGTGAAACGAACTTTGACAAACTACAAGTGTTTATTATGTGTTTATAATAGTTACAAGAACGCGAATAATAGAAAAAAAAAACGGTGGTTGACGATAAAATAAAATAATAACGCAAACATAGCAGTAGCGATCGATAATTGTTTAGCGTCACCCTCCTCTTCTGACGACGAAAAAAATATAGGGGATACCACCCCCTTTATTTCTGGAGGTGTGACCAACTTCTGTTTCCTTAAAACCATGCAGTAAGCACCCCCTGCCAAGTATGCAAATTTTAAACTTTAAAAATTCTATCCCATTTTCATAAGACAGTCTCGTTTTAATTTCGTTAGGTAGCATCATATTAGTAATAAGTAAACATTATTTTTATGTGCAAAAGGAAATATCATAATCTTAAATAAAAAAGGTATAAAACACAAAAGATTATTGATATACAATTTAGATTTATAAAAATGAATAGTTTCTATGCAATATAAGTAAGATATTGAAACTCCATATGAATATTATCATACGTAGTCTATGAGTTGGCAGAGCTTGCTCATTTGATGAATGTTGGGTCAACATCAGGAATGTATTAATCATTAGGTACTATACTCTTTTTCAAATGAGAACGCACCGGGCGACGGACGAAAACCGGCCCAAACTCGCGCATGTCCTTCCCACTCCCGAAAGTTTCAGCCGCCGTCGGTGTTGCTACCTTGTATACGTAGTGAGTTGTATTTACACACAATTTAACGACCGTTCGTACGTGTAAAACGATATCTGCTGTTTATTTACGCACGATCAGTTAATTTATTAAATTTTGGTTTTAGTTTGTGCGTTTAAATATTTTTTTTAGTCGCGCACCATTTATTCGGCGAAATTATAGATGAAGAGATAATTGTTACATCAACTAAGAAAAATCCAAGAGGAAAGGTTAATATTATTATGATTTATTATATTATAGAATAGAATATATGTTACTTGCAATGTATATAATAATATTATTTATTATTATCATACATCTATTTTTTTCCAATTTGTTTCAAGTCAAAAAAAAAAAAAGATTTTTAATGGAATTGAAAAACAATCCGAAAATTCCAATTAGGGAATGTCGGATAATTCTTTCAAAACAACTTGACATTGGGCAAAGAACAATTTCGAGCACTATTAGCGAGTACAATTCTTCAGAGACTGTGACGTCTCCAAACAGAAAACGATCTAAGAAATCGTTTAAGGACGCGTTCGATGATTTACATCGAAACACTGTGCGTCGTCATGTACATTCCAATTGATACAACAAAACTATTCCTGCATTGTCCAAAATATACGGAATTGTGAAGGACGACGATAGTTTACCGGATATTTCACAAACCAATTTATATCGTCTTTTAAAAACCATGAATTTTGAATACACCAAACGAAGCCGCAATAGTGCTCACGTTGAAAAAGACGAAATAGCTGTATGGCATCAACAGTACCTGAAGGATATAAAAACATATCATGAAGAAGGGAGACACTGGACTACCTAGACGAATTGTGGGTCAATGCAAGAGAATGTACCAACAAAACATGAGTAGACAAAACTGTCAAATCGTGCCGTGATGCATTTGTTCGAGGCCTGACAACGAGGGCAAAAAATCCAACAAGGAAAGGCAAACGACTCATTATTCTTCATATAGGGTTGGAAGACGGGTTTGTACCGGTTGGATTCCTATGTTTTGAATCAAAAAAAAAACACAAATGATACCACGACGAGATGAATGGTGACACATTTTTCGAATGGATGCAAAGTATATAACCGTGATTAAAAGAAAACTGTGTCATCATTATGGATAACGCATCATACCATTCGGTGAAGGCAGACAAAATACTTACCACCTCAACCAAAAAGGCGGACATAATTAAATGGTTCGAAGAAAAAGGTGAAGTTATCGACAAACCTATGGTATTTCCACGACCACTTGAAATAGTATGCAGAATCAGACCAATGCACGAAAAATATGTAATAGACGAACTGGCCAAAAAACACAACCGCACCATCTTAAGACTCCCACCGTATCATTATGAGCTAAACCCTATAGAGCTGGCTTGATCATCAGTCAAATATCACGTCAAAATAAATAATACCACCTACAAATTAATTGATGTGAACAACTTGTTATTGGACGGTATCGAACGAGTAGATGCCATTATGTGGACAAATTTCATAATAAGTTATTTTTTATTATTTAACTATATGCTTCCTGTAGGTAACTCTTTTTAAAAATCATTACATTTTATTTAATCACAATAGGTAGTGTTATATTGTGGTTAGGAATCAAATAGATACCTATTAGAGAAAACTAAAATTAATACATTCAGCAGCAATAATAATAACGCTAAAGAACTATAGGCAGGTATCTATTATAATGTAGGTACCTTATTATTTAAATAAAGTATTTGACTATAATAAGAGTAAATAATAAAATACATTATTCAAAGTTTAAAACATTTATTTGGTAATAGTTAAAACAGTCTTATGTTTTATTACTATTTTTAGTCTTAAAATTTCCTTTCAACTGGGCATTCCTTAGATAAATCTTGTTTAAATTTATCAAAATGTATAGCTAACAAATAATACTTATTAAACAAAATACAATTAAATGATTAAAGTTTCATAATAAAATTTAAAAATAAAACAATATAGAATTTAATAAACTAAAAACAACCGAGTACCTTGTTACAACAATAAATATTAAATAAGTAGCAGGTACTATATGTAAAAAATGATGTCTTTAGATAATGGTGACGGGTGCAGTCATTGTTATGGGTAATTTAATGAATACCTTTAAGCAACGATAAACCATTGCTTACGGAAAAACGATTCGGAGGGGAGTTCAGTTGATAGTAATGCTTTTTCAACAATAGTAAATTATAGTAATGCTTTTTCATATTATGGTAAAATGATTTAATAGGTTTTATTTATTTTCTTTAAAATTGTTTGTTTAATGCTGTACCGATATTCTTGGTTTTCTTACGTTTTTCTCTTTTTCCCGGTTTTTCAAATTTGATGAGAAAATCAAAAAATGACCTCTTCAAAGTACCTCAACACACCGATTTCCTTGGTGGCTCACCAATCCGCTTAATTTAGAAACACACGGATATTCGATTACCTACGAATTCCATATTCGTGGAATGCCATCTTGCACGGTAATAACATGGAGCGTTGCCATACCCACCAACGTTGACCGGCTACAGAGTGGCGTGTACATGACCGTGGCGGTTTCCAAAACAAGCAGTGTGACCAATGTGCGCAGCCGAATCGCTGTAAACACTTCTTAGTTTTACTGTAGCCAAGCTGTTGCAAATAAAAAAAAAAAACAACAACATGCTGTGATAATATAACAACGTTGATAATAAATTCAGTAAACACAAAACGATAATATAAATATTTGACATTTTCGTTTTTCGTCAATATTATCTAAGGATTCTGGGTATATACTATACATTTGTAGCCGATTCCTACCTCGGATTTTTATTTTTATTTTTTTATTTGTATTGATGCTGATTTAAGAGATTTGTAAATTCAACTACTATCGACTCTCAACGACCTGGACAACCATGGCCACAGTAATAGCTATTGACCTGTCCGTGTCTATGATTAAAAAAATCAAAATCCCAGGAACCAAAGAAACCTATACCTTATTGCAGTTGGCTGAACACGGAGTTAATACACTGTTGGATTATTTGGCGGTCCATTCTAAACTCGAATCCGTTGCCGTCGTGAGTATTTTACAATAATATGCTTGAGTCAAAGCAATAAAGGTTCTTCGTTCATCCTTTGATATAATTGGTATAATTATACTTGAAACTACAATATAAGTAGAATAATTTTATTATTAGTTATTATGTACCTAAAGTAAAATTTGTACAAGAAAAAAGAAAAATATACAACTTTGCATATTATCATAAAAACAATTGTTTATTATTTGGTTAAAGTTTGATTAAATTAAGTAATCATGGCTCGTTCTACTCTATCAAAACGAATTGGAACAGAAAAGCTGTATTCTCCTTTATATTTTTATAATAATAAAATTATACACTTGTTTATAAAGTTCATTTCCAACAGGTTACATTTTCACATACTTGTGATGTACTATGTTCATTTACTCGCGACTATGCATCAATCAAAAATAAAATCATGCATTTAGATTTCAAGACAGACACCCGATATCCTCCTGTAATACAAACTATTAATTATTTAGTCCACAGTCAGTTGTCTAACTCAGTAAAGTGTCAAGTAAATAACATGATATAAAACACTGCATTTAATCTAATATCTATAAATAAATAATTTATTTGTACAGGTGATTATGATTACTGATGGAAACTGCTATCAAGGTCTTCGACAACCAGATATAAAACCACTTCTATTTTCTGGAAAACTAATAGTCATCTCTTTGGATGTAGTACCCACAATTTACAAAAATAATTTTAACTCAAACAAACTTCCAAATGACATGGGATACATAACTTGTCCTGAATTACCTCTAACTCCATCTAAAGTTGCTAAAGTGTTTAAAAAAATTGCCAAGGAAACATATGTTCCATACAGTGCAATGTTACAATGCGGCCATTTAAAATCTGATGTTCATCTGATTCCTCCTCCAATCATGGTATTAATAAACATTTTAAATTTAAAACTTTAATGTATAGTTCAATAATTTGTTTTCAATTTTTAGTCTTACACAAAAGTAATGGATTTTGAGATAATGACCTATTGCATTTTATATGAATTGGATATTGTTGGATTTTTAGAGTCTTCAAAAGTTGAATGTCCTGCTACCTTTTCCCGCCATCTTGTTTTACCTCAGCGATCTTCAGATGAACGTACAAAAAGTAATTTAAAATCTTCAAAAATTCCATCATTTTGTGTATTATTACATGAGGCTTTGAAAGTAAATATTTTTTTTTTTAATGATTAGTTTACTTTAAATAAAAAAAAATAAAATGTAATAAAATCATATTTATTTAATTTTTTAGGCAGAAAATATGATGGCCCTTTGTCAGATAGGTACTAATTGGTTTGGATTATTAGTTAGTTGTGCAAATAATAAAAAAAACAAATCCAACTTAATGTTAAATGTACTCGAACCTGGCACAAATGCAATTCCTTGGTTGGGAGATATCCAAAATCTTACTTTCGTACCAACAAAAAGTAAGACAATTTAAATGTCTAAAATAATAATTTGATTATTTATTATTTTAATTTATTTTATATTGAATCTTTACAGAAAATGACCCACAGCCTCTAAAATTATCTAATAAGTGTAGTTACAATCAGTCAGATTTGGTATGGATTAAAAAACCTGGTCTTCAGGCAAATATTTATAAAATTACAAGACTAGCAAGAAAAATGCCAGATAAAATTATCAGTTTTTATAAGGTAGTTCAATGTAATGATTAATTTAATTTTAATAAAGGAAAAATAAAATATAAGGGTAGTCTAAGTTACTGTGATTCTGAAGTTTTGGATGAGGTTAAATATTGGAATTTAGGAAATTGTGCCATTTAGAGTACTACTACCATTTGTAAAATCCTTATATAAATGTGTGAATATTTTGGATCATCCTCTACATTCAGATTCAGAAATTGTATGTTTTATAAAATTGTAAACAAAATTGTTTACTATACAAATAAAAAAATGAATGATTTAACCATTCAAAGTGAGATCATTAGTTATAGATTTATCTTAATTTGATTTTAAATTGTATGTATTTTGTTTAGGAATTAAATCGCATCCGAAAATCTGCAATAGCTTATGGCTTCACTGATTTATTGACCAGTCTAGCTGAACTATTAGAATTTGAATGCAGCAAATTACCAGGGAATACTCATCCAGATGGTGCCCTGCAATTAACTCATGCAGCTATGATATTGCAAACACCTTTGGGCATGGATCCTAAATATACAGCCTGTCCTTTGGTAACAAAATATCCTCACCAAAAAATCATGTCGCATTCCATAAATTAAACAAACAAGTAATATAATTATGAACTCAATCAATAGATCATATTATTTTGTAAACTAAAATGATTCTTAAGCAGAAAGAAATATTTTTTGTTAATATGTATACGGGGTGATTTTTTTATCCTGAGTCAGCAATTATCTCTAAGGATTTAAGTGAATTTATTTCTGTTTTTTCTAATCATTATGGAATCCTTTAAGGTTTATTTTAAAATAATTTTTAATTTTTTACCCTAAATTCATATACCTTAAATAAGTATCTACTTTTGATTTTTAAATAGTACCCCCTTTTGAACAGATATTTGAATAAAGAATATTTTTCTAGAATTTAGAATCTTAGAATAAAATTCTCCATTCGAATCTATGTTCCAAAGAGGTTGGGGGGTGGGAGTTCAAATTTGACAATCAAAAGTATGTTCTTATTTGTAGTATATATCGAGTGGGGGTAAAAATTAAAAATGTTTAAGAAAAAAAAATATAAATGATTTCATAATGATAAAGAAAAACAGAAATTAAATTCTCTTAAAATCCTCAGAGATGATTGCTGGTTTATGATAAAAAACAACACTCTGTATAGCAGTATTCATGATTTTTAATTTGTTACACGAAATATGTGTATTATTACTATTATTGCTGTATTTAAGTATGTAATAATATATTTGTATGGTACTAAAATATCAATTTTAGACACTAAAAATATGATAAAACTTGTAAGTCTCCATTAATATAATTTTATTACTTTTTACATACAGTGTAAGAAAAATATTTAATAAGTTAACTTTGGTAAAATTGTATAAATAAAACATTCATTATAACAATATATTATTATATTGGTATATAATATTTATTTGTATTTATATAAACTATTTTTGTGTTTGTTTGTAATTCGTTAATATTAATTATTTTATTTTAGCAGAAAAAATAATATTTATTGTTAATTTAAAATTAATTATTATAAGAAATTATACTAAATAAATAGTTCAGGTTCAGAATAGAAAATACTGTTTAAAATAAGTCACTTTTAGATTACACCAAAGGTTCCCGAACTTTTTATGGCACATCCCATTTTGAAAAAAATTTAAATTTTGGCGACCCACAATAATACCTTGTGACCTAAATGACCTTTTATTTTTTTCAATTTATTTTTCATTTCTCGACTCCCATAAGTACTCTCGCAGTCTGATTTTCTTTTAGAAAAAGTGCTACACTTGTAAATCAGAGCAAAAATTTTGGTAGAAAAGTTGTTCATTGATAGAAATAAGAAAATAAATTAATATTATAAAACTATTACATTCTTCTATTTAAAATCTAAAAAATGTAATTTTTAAAAATATAACACGACACACACTTTGAGAACATCTGGCTTACACAATTTATATAATTATTAGTTATATAGTAAAATTATTTATTTAGCCATGAGATACATACAAATATATCCTTGAACAGTAAAGAAATGTGTGATAGGTTTAACAAAGTCTTAAGTATAAAATTTTTTTTGTTTTTGGAACCCAACCATTTGTTATTGGTGTATTCATGAGATCCTTTTATAACACTGTACTTAAATTAATCAAAGTAATAATTGAATTTGTTTTTTTTTTTTATTCGAATAAATAGGTACATTTAAAAACAATTTTTTTTTTATTAGATCTTTTAGTTTTTATATAGCAACTACTTTTTTAAATACTGAAATGCAAAATATATTTTTATTTCTATTGTTGATGGATATATATTTTGTAAAATGAACTAATAAATCATTGATGTATAACCATTTAATAGAAAAATAGATTATAACAATAGACAATAATAGTGTGTAGTTTTTATTTCTTTATCTAATCTATCTAAATTTTTTAAATGTTTTTACATAAATAAATATTGATCAATGTACTGACATTTTCAGAGAAAAAACTGCATCAAAGATTGAAAATAATAGGTAGGTACAGGTCTTAAAAAAGAAATATATGCTAACATGACAGTTTACCGGTATAAATATAAGTAGTTATATATTTAAAATTATAACATAACATGTTTAATACATTTATTTGAGTGGGTAGATTAAAAAAAAGCAGACCATATTATCTATTGTATATTTACCAGTTTCCCCAAACTGTTGGTAGAGACAAAATATTATTTGTTTTTTTTGTACCTTAGTTATATTATTATATTGTCTACAGTGTATTATTATCAAAAGTGTATGTTTTTTAAACATTGTCGTTTTTTTGGTTTTTTCTATACAATCTTCCAAATATTATTTTATGGTTTTAAGAATAGTTGTATACCTATGCTGTGTGGTTAGGAATTTTATACTCTCAAAACTCTATTATTCATTAATTATTACATTTTAAATAATAACCATTATTTTCCTTGAATGGTAAGAACTACATAAAAATAATAATTATCTATTATTATATAGTAAGATAAACAGTTAGGTAAGTTAGGTTATAGTTTTCAATTTTCAAATCAATATTTTAATCAAATTTCTATTACCTATTTAAAGGTAATTTATGTTTATAAATATAAGTATTTGTAAATATTGTAGTTTATTTGATAAAAGTACTTAAAGCAGTAACCTATTTATTATGCATCATGTTGAAAGTGAATTGGTTACCTATCTACTTGGTAAATATATTTGTACAATTCATCAGTAAGTTTTAATTTTGTAGTTTTATGCATTCTTATAAATTATACATAATATCATTATGTTTATATTTTGATTTCAGTTTAGTGAGTTATATTTTAAATACATAGACTATTGAGTCTAACCTATCTAACCTATGGATTATTGATAATAAATATTATTTATATTTTGATATTACACAGCGTGCTTTTTAATTAAGTAGTACTACAGAGATAGAATTATTCATGTTATAGAAATAATACAAACATCCACAAACAGTTATTACAGTGTCCTGTAAGTAGCATTGACAGTGGTAAAATTCTATACCAACTGGCAAAATTCTAACCCTAACCAAAACTTTATGGGCAGTTTAAAAATCAGATTAAGATGTTTAAGAATTTTCGGAAGATCTTACACATCAAATATTAAAATCATAATATTCATGTCATCATACCTATTATAATCATAGCCGCCAGTAGATACCAATATCTTCAATTAAATTTGAAAATGGCTACAATAATAAATACAAATATTGATTCCTATATTAGATTTTAATATTTAAACTACTATTCCAACTAAAAAATTAATGAAATATGTATAAATGTATTAACTGTAATATTATTCATATAGACTAAATTTTTAAATCAATTAAATTTCAAAGTAGTAGAATTTCAAAAACATGGAAAATAAAACTGATTTTTTCATCTTTAATATTGCGCCTAAATTACCTACTAATTTGTCTACTCTCTACAAATATACATAAAGTAATATACGAGTAATATACGAGATATATGCGTGTTCTAATGCGTGAAACGGCGATTCCGATTCGGGCAACCCCGGTCGAAGAACCGGAAAGGACCCCGTCGAGCAGCAGACACCTGCCTGTAGCGTCCCTCGCGCGTCCCTACACGTGTCGCTATACCCAACCATCGCATTTCGTTATTGCCCGACCATCGAGCATGACGGTCACCTTAAGAAGTACGACGAAAAAAAAAAATGCTACCTTGCACACCCGGCATGTTAGTACGAATTTTACACACGATGCGTTTGTGCGCGTTTCTACAGGATCTCTCTCTCAATCACTCTCTCGCCCTCTCTCACTCACCGGGTCCGGCAGTCCGGCAATATGCGTACGCGGCCGGTGCCGTACGAGTACAGTCGCGTTTCGGAACCGCGCGGAAACCGGTCGAAACGGCGTGTCGCAGAACGAGTCTTGCGGACGGAGAACGGCGAAAATGGATCTCGAGCTACGTATATCATTTTAATGATATTGCCCCGTCACGTTGTGTGTTTCCGACGTCGTGTTTAGTTTTGCTTCCGATCGTTCGCGCCGCGCATAATAAATTATTGTACACGGTATAGTAATATTAGATTTTTTTTTTTTTCAATTTCGACATGCGTGGGGTCGGGCGTCTAAAATATTATGTCTGTACACCGTCGGTTCCCAGCGACGACGTTATTATGGTGCTGTCGACTGGTAGAATAATTTTTAGTCACGTTTTTATGCGATACGCGTATCGCGGTTTTAGANTTACGCTATAAATTAAATTATCGATAAGAAATGCATGGTTTTTTTTTTTTTTTTTTTTAATTATTATAAAACACTGTATAAGTAGATAAGTTCCGTGTTGGTATTTATTGTAATATACGCATATAGGTCATTTAAAATTTATCATAGGTCTAGGGGACTTTTTCACTGTGTGTTATATTTGATTGATCACACAGTAGAATTAGTTACCATGAGATATGACAAAAAGAACACCGACCTATACGTATACGAATAAGTTATAATATATTTAAGCAGCTTCTTATTGTTATTTTTTAAAAAATTATCTGCGGCCATAGTTATAAAGTTTAGTTTTAGCCTATAGGTAAGTAGGCACTAATTAAGCAGTGAGGTACTGGTATTAAAAAAAAAATCCAGAAAACTACAATAACCTAATGTACCTAATTATTCAACTATGAAAATATATCGAAATATTCTTATACAATGTATAATTATAATTGTTGTAATGTTTTTTTTAATTTTTTTTTAGACACGTGTATAATTGGTCATTAGAAATTTGAATGTATTGTTTGCTGTTCATAAAATATGCATATCATAATTGGAAACAACCCCTATAATAATTTAAATTATAATTTACATAATAAAAAATAATATTTCATCTTGTGCAAACACGTTACTTTTTATTAATGTATTAAATGTTTTATTAGCAGTTAATCATAATGTTACTTTAAAGTAATGAACATTACAAAATAGGCAGTGTCACTACTGCAACATTTCCTTTTTATTAATTTTTTAAGAAACAATACAAATAATTATTGTTATCTAATAATAATAATAATACAATAGCGATATGTAAATACAAAACTCACAAGCCTAATTTTAGTCAGTTGACTTTCTCTGAATTCATAATTATTACTTCTAGCTGTAATATTATGCTTACACAACATAAGACTAAACATGTATATTTATTTATCATTTATATTATTACAAATACGTAACTAAAAGATTAAAATATGGCCATATGGGTACTTGGTGTTATACAAAATGTAAATAATTTAATAAACATAACGGATCGTTCGTTATTCGAGAAGGATAAATACAAGCCTTTAAACAATCAAAGTAATTTAAAATGTGTTAAATATAGTAGAACTCCGTGCTATCTGCCGTGGCCCTTTGAGGCCACTGCCGTCTCAGTCATACTGTTGTAAATCTAATTTTTATAATTCGATTATTAGTTATTTTATATCGACTTCGACGCGAAGGCCATATAGTCCGTCTTTATAAGCCCATACATTTTAACGGTTTTGCTTGCATCATTCGATACCCGGAACGATTTCACGTTACAATTCAAACAAAATTCCAGATAAAATAATTTATATAAATAATGTACTGTCCATAGATACTATTAAAAAGAAATTAAATTTGAAACAAATAATAGAACCAAATAAATTTATAAAACTAATCAATATACAGGAGGATACTGCTATTAATCTATATAAAAATACAATAATTCACACACCACCTAAGTTAAATAATTACGATAATAAAATAAAGGAAACGATTAAAAATCATAATAACAATAATTGCCATTTCAGTCATACTATTGTAAATCTTATTCTTATAATTTGATTATTAGTTTTTCCAAAATTTTTTTCATAAAAACCTTCTCCTGGCAATTACGAACAATTAAAAAAAATTTAAGCCAATTCGGCCCAGCCGTTCTCAATTGTTGAATTGTTATACATTTTTGGCTCCATTTTTATATATATAGATATATACATTTTTTCGTAATAGATTCTCGGAACGATACGCATAATGTAGAGGGTCGAGAGGTCCGTTGTCACCAACGATTGTATTTCGTATTATGCAGGAAGGAGGAGGAGACGGGGGTTGTGACGACGGTTATATTCCGTTTAGGTAAAAAATTGCGTACGAGTAATATTATTTTGTTAAAATAATCAACAGGGAGTTAATGGCGTGTGTGTAACACAGACGGGGAAGATATATTTCGTATAGGTATACGAAATACTTGCTATGTATAAGATACGTTGAAACATCATCTTATGATAATAGTAGGTATAATCGTGATAAAATAAAATATGGTATAACATAAGGTATAACGATAAGTATAACCTGTGATAACAGCAGATATAACCGTGATAACAGTGTGGTAATAATATCGGTGATAACATTGTGGTAATAATGTCGAAAGTGGGCGTGACCTAAATGGTCTATGAAATGGTGGGCAATTCGGGCGGCCATGTATTCGGGTGGCCATAGGGTGTATTAGGTATAGCACTTAATCCTCGACATTCGACGGTCACCGCACAACAAAATATTACGGCCGCTAGATTACAGCACCGCTTTCCTAGGAAACCGTAGCTTAACCCGTAGTCAGAAATATAATATTATTATGAATTGTAACGGATTGCGATCGCATAAACATTTGTGCGTAGGGGGGGAATTATTGTTCATGATGACATAAAGTATCCGTCGACACGGGCATAATCTATTAACCGGTCAACCATATCGATGGTAGGTATGCTTGTCCTTTGGTAACGGGAAATGGGTTAATCTGATCGTACCCAGGCGCTTATTTTGGGTTGATATTCATATCAATTTCTATTGCGATTTCAAACGGAGTAAAGTGCTTTATATTTTCGCGTACTTCATTTAGTTATTGACACTGAGCTATGTCGAGTTCGGAAACCAATTCGTTTGGTTAAAATACACGTTCTAAATGACGTGCGTACAAATCTACTTTATCTTGTTTACAGCATGCCCTTGATCCATCTTCCATTCCGACAGGTGGTACATGGGCTCTAAGACTCTTCATGCGTCTTGTAGCCTTCCATTATGAATAATCAGTGTTACTCGTTGCAGAAAGTTCACTTAAGTATGATTTGAACGTTTCGTTTATTACTTTTTAAATTTTGTCAAATAAAGTTTGCTAGTGCAATTCCAGACGGTTATATCCACAGAATCTCTCGTTCGGTGCTATTTTTTCCGTGCTTTTTGTTTTTATTTTACTAGTTCCCTAACTTCCATTGGGTAGGCAATCTCATGATTACCACCTGTTGGTGTTATGGGTGTTGCCGCTTTCGCTGCTTTTACGATGTTATTAGTCAGTTGTTCAACATCATTAACAATTTCGATAAATGTTCTTAGTCTTACTGTGAGGGTTAAGGTCTCGTCTAGATTCGTTCTAAAGAGGTCCAAATCTGTTTTCTTGTTGATTAGCAACATCTGTCGTTGTTTTTCTATAACATTAGAACTTAACGTGAGAAACATTGGTATGTGAGCTGACGATTATTATGTAAGTTATAATACTTTGATATAATTAGAAGCTGTACCTTTCATGACAAGGAAGTCAAGCATATCGGGAATTTTGTTCAGTTCAGTGGGCCAATACGTTGGCTCTCTTATAAAATGATTTCAGAGTATTGATGTTTGTAACTTTTAATAAGGCATGTCCTTTTAGGTAAAATAGTCTCGATCCCCAATGGGTATGCTTGATAATATAATCATCTCTAACAATAAATCTCAAACCCAACGTATGAAAAATTCAGTAAACCTTATTTCATTTGCTTTCCTTTGCGGTGAGCAGTTAATTGTGGCAACGGTGAAATCGTTGTCATTTTCCGGTCATCAATTCCTTTGGATAGACTTATAAAGTGCTAGGCATCTGCTTGTATAAAACTTTTGCTGTGACAGGTTTCTGCTATATTCTTTGCATAGCAGAGACTTGTTTTGGGTGTGCTCTTTCTATTGCTTTTTGTAAGCAATGCAACCTTTCCAGTTAGCTGTGTGATTTTAACCACAGTTTGCACATTCTGCTTTTGTCTTTTTAGATTTAAGGCAATATTCGATTCTGCGACACTGCGGTACTTCTTTTTTTTATATGGTGGTTCTATATTTATTATCTGAGGACATAGTAGTTTTATGTTGTGACGGTTTTTATTATTCTCCTATTGTTTTAAATCTACATAGTATAATGGAGCCTTATGTATGTCCACTCACTGTTTTTGTTTTTAGGATCAAAGTTTTTCTTAATCTGTATATTGCTTATTTTGCTTACTTCGTGGTCTTAGTCATACAGTTCATTGGTAATTATTCCTATATCTGAGTCATGATTTATACCTCGTAATACTACTCGAAATGGTTTTTCACTTTTTAATTGATACCGATGGTATTCAACTTTATTTTCTTCTAATATTTTGGTTGTACTTCTGAATTGACTTTCGTTTATTGTTAAGATTCTCGTCTCGTCATTTGCTAGGACTTTGAATTGTTGTTCATTTCCTACAGGTTCTTCACACGTTAATAATTGGTTTAATTTATTAATTGTTTAACACCTTCAATAGTTATTGGTGGGGGCTTATATATTTTTTGAGTTTTATTTTTAGTCGGGTTTTTGTTACTAATTTGTTTAAATTTGAAGTATCGTTAACATCTTTTAAAACTGATATGTTAGAAATAGGGGTCATTTTTTCTAAGTTGTTGTTTATTTTTGTAATTAATTGTTACGATTTAGCTGCCAGTACCAATTCACTATTTTATATTTCTAGTAATTTTTGACTTGCTTGTAGTTCTACCACTTGGCGGCGGAGTTGTTCGTTAACGTGTTTTAATTCGGTTAAAATATTTTGCATTTCTGCGTAGGTCGGCAGATCTGGTTGCATAAGTCCGTCCATGACTGTGGGCGTCACGCGACGGTGGGAACCATACGTCGTTGCACGAGCGTAATTAATATTATTATATAATTATTAGCCTAATTAATATTATTATGTAGACACTTACCGATTTCCGATTAGCGTGATAAGCATTTTGATGTTATTGAATTACTGAAAAGAAAAAAAAAACAACGCGAATGACGGCACTCGAAAGCGAGAACATGCGTGTTGCTCGTTCAGCAAACAAATCGAGATCCAAATAAGTAAAACAAATTCAGCTGAACAACAGTACCGGTCCAGTGGCGCAATCGGTTAGCGCACGGTACTTATATGACAGTCGTCGTGAGCAATGCCGGGGTTGTGAGTTCGAGCCTCACCTGGACCAACAAAATTTTTTGCTATTTTTTTTTTTTGTGCGTTTTTATTTTTTCTGACAACGCGTATTTATTTTAATTATCATGAGATTTGTTGAATTTTTTTCTTCGCAAAATAATATTTGTTTGTTTAGTCATGTTGATTATTTATTTATTATGTCCCTATACGACGTATTATAATAATATTATTATATTATAATATAGGCACGTACGAAAATTCCATCGGATTTCAATTGACGGGTGATAAATGTGTTATTAATTTTTTTTTTTTAACGAAACCGATATAGGTAATAATTTTCTCTTAAAAATTCCGTAAAAAATTCAATATAATATATTATAACGTTCTCGTGTACACCGCGATATTACATATCGTTTGTAAATTAATAGCACGTCATATCAAGTAGGTATCTATCACTACACCGAAAAACGTTATAATTTGTTAGTAATTGACCGTCGTAGAATATAAAATGATATAATTAAACGGTATCGTAGAACGTAAATTATTTAATTGATAAAATTGGAAACACGTTCGATTATTAATAAAAAATATAATAATAATAAAAAATTACCATAGTATAATATTTAGTTTACTGTTACTTAATTATAATTGAATGGAGAAAATAACGCGAAAATACAGCATCCCAAATTACCCTCTGAAGTATCACACTGTATTTCTAGGTCTTGTTAATTAATAAAATTAACCAGTATTGTTACATTACAAAGACTCTTTCAAATTAAAATACGGCTTTTCACAGCCCAGACCCCAATTAGGTAATACATTTTTTTAAGAATCTCTTTAATTGGTGCTACTCTTTCAGAAAAATTTGGAAAAAATGCCCTTAAATAAGATATCAAACCTAAGATCGATTTTAGTTGTTTTTTATACACTGGTGTTACTAACTCTTGTATAGATTTAATACTATCATTATCAGGCTTAACAAATTACAATTCAATTATAAATTTAAAATTAATTTAGTACAGTTTAATAAAATATTGGTATACACTTATAATTATGGTTTATTTATAAAATTTAATAATTACATTAAAAATGTTTTAAAATACAATGATTTTATGAGTATACTTGTTTAACTTTAAAGTCATTATTTCTATATTCTAATGACTCCAATACAATTGTATTGTCTATCAATTTTTTCTTGGTTAAGACAAAACAAAAGATTAAAAAACTAAGTTAGTTTCCAGAGGAACATTTATGGAACAATGGATATAATAATTTATGTCTAGTAGTTAATCCATCAAGTACTAACCCATCAACGACGAGAATTTTTTTAAATTGTTTTCGCTATAAATAGGTTATGTAAATAAATAAATATTTGTAAACTCTGCTATTACCCAATTTTTTTGTTTTATAATAATATCTTTTATTGAAATCATAACTATTTTATTGTTTTCACTAATTATGATTGTATTTTATTCTAATTTTATTTTATTTTATTAAAAACAATATCATATGTATAAATAAATAGTACAATAGAAGGCACGAAAATTCATTCGAAAATCATACCATATTAAATATTAATTGACATTAAATGTTAAATGTTCATCTTCTCTAAAATAAAAATTCCAATCAGACGATTTCGATTTTGACATTTGTATTAGACTTAAAGATGAATACCCTGTTATTGTTGAAAAGGCTATTAGAGTTCTATTTCCGTTTGTTATGAGTCGTCACTGACGACTTACCGATGCGAGACTAATTTTTCAGCTTACGCTTACGCCAAAAGCAAGTACAGTAATTAATTGGATGCAGCTCCAGATCTTCCAGATCTTCAATTATCAGATATTAAGCACAATTAAAGTGATATTTTAAGAAAATTTGTGACAACATTTTATTCTTCTCATTAAATTGATAAAAAACAGCTACTTATTTACATTGTATTTCTTTGTAAAGTAAATGTTTTTTAATACATAGAATAATTGTTATTCATTTTAAATTTGTTCTTTCTTTTCAAAATAAACATAAAAATATAAATACTAAAAGGTAAATATTTTCTTTTATTAAACGGAGGTTCCGTAGAAAAAAAAAATTGGGAACTTCCGCAATTAGGCACACTAAATGAACCAAACGTTATTCGATAGTGATAACGACACATAAATCGCATAGTACATATTATAATTAAATAATATTTTTAAATACTTGTCCATTTTCCTAGCATAAAATATATTTGTATGAGTATATCCAATTGGATTTCACACATATAAATTATGAGCCCCCCTCCAACTTTCTTAAACTGCTGTAGCCATCCCTTTAAAGTCTCAGAACGGGATGCCTGTCGCCGCCCGCTCTTTGTGAACGGGAAACGACGGGAGAAACGAGACCCCCAGGCTGAAAACCACTGCTACAGTACACGAATACAACGCGTGACGGTGCGGGAAAATACAATAATGAGTCTTTGTCGTATTGTTGCAATATTCGGGTATTGCGGGGGAGGTATGCATGTTCTAGAGACAGCGATTTCGATTCGGACAACCGCGGTCGAAGAACCGGAAGAGACCCCGTCGAGCAGCAGGTACCTGCCTGTTGCGTCGGCAGTCCGGCAATATGAGTACGCGGCCGGTGCCGTACGAGTACAGTCGCGTTTCGGAACCGCGCGGAAACCGGTCGAAACGGCGTGTCGCAGAACGAGTCTTGCGGACGGAGAACGGCGAAAATGGATCTCGAGCTACGTATATCATTTTAATGATATTGCCCCGTCACGTTGTGTGTTTCCGACGTCGTGTTTAGTTTTGCTTCCGATCGTTCGCGCCGCGCATAATAAATTATTGTACACGGTATAGTAATATTAGATTTTTTTTTTTTTCAATTTCGACATGCGTGGGGTCGGGCGTCTAAAATATTATGTCTGTACACCGTCGGTTCCCAGCGACGACGTTATTATGGTGCTGTCGACTGGTAGAATAATTTTTAGTCACGTTTTTATGCGATACGCGTATCGCGGTTTTAGATTGCGCTAGAATTTATATTATCAATTGACGGTTCCTCAGACGATCTTCGATGGCGCAGTGTACCTAACTGCGCAATAATACCTTTATAATATTATATATTACGCTATAAATTAAATTATCGATAAGAAATGCATGGTTTTTTTTTTTTTTTTTTTTTAATTATTATAAAACACTGTATAAGTAGATAAGTTCCGTGTTGGTATTTATTGTAATATACGCATATAGGTCATTTAAAATTTATCATAGGTCTAGGGGACTTTTTCACTGTGTGTTATATTTGATTGATCACACAGTAGAATTAGTTACCATGAGATATGACAAAAAGAACACCGACCTATACGTATACGAATAAGTTATAATATATTTAAGCAGCTTCTTATTGTTATTTTTTAAAAAATTATCTGCGGCCATAGTTATAAAGTTTAGTTTTAGCCTATAGGTAAGTAGGCACTAATTAAGCAGTGAGGTACTGGTATTAAAAAAAAAATCCAGAAAACTACAATAACCTAATGTACCTAATCAAAATATATTTATACAATGTATAATTATAATTTATGTCATTTTCGTAATTTTTTTTACTTATTTAGACATTTTTTTTAAAATAATATATTATACTATTTACCAGTTTATTATTAGTAACGAATGGTGTCACTGTAACAACAAGTGTAACAAAAATGTATTTTACAAATTGTCAATAGATTCCCAGACAAAATACATACTTATAAAGTTATATCTAAATAATAGTTCTCAAAAATCATATTAATAAAAATTATCAATATTAATTTTAAAAAAAAGTTTCAATTTTTTTTTCTGAATTCCTGTTTGGAAAGTTTGGATTCAAACAACAAGTCTTCTTCAGTTTCTAACAGAAGGATTTCAAATAATATTTCTTTTTGAAATATATTCTCAACAGCTAACTGCTCACCAAAACCAATCACAGTTTTTTTAAATCTGTTTATTAAATTATCAACTTTGTCTGATAGTGACATAATATCATGCTCGATGTTATAAATAGTGCGATTCATTTTGTAGAAAAGTTCTAAAAAATATCATATTATTGATAAAAATTATTATACAATGTATATTATATATATATATATTTATATATATATATATATAGTTTTAGGACTTAAATTTATATTTAAATTTGTATATAATACATTTTATATCTACCTAAAACTTCATCTTTTTGAGCAGGTTGAATGTTTGCTGACGAATCCAACAAATTTGTTCTGTTTCTGTTTACACTAGGATTCCTTTAAACATCTTTTAGGACCTTTGAAGTGGCTGATGAGATTGTGGTGCAATTTTTTCTTCATTTGTCACTTTAAATGGGGAAAATGATGTAAAAATTACAGTATTTAAATCAAAATTCTGGATCTAATTTAAAAATATATTTATTAATATTAAATTATAAATAATTGTACAATATTTTATACAAGGAATATTTCAACGATTTACTGATTAAATATACCAATGTATCATTTGGGGTATCTCAATTTGATCTTACACAGACATAATTCATAAACAATTAATAATGAACATTTTAATAATTTGTGCTGGGACTCAGTTGAATTCATACAACTTAAAATGTTTTAAATATTAATTTTATAATTACTACCTATATGTATATGTTTTTATATAAGTATTTTTATTTTATTTTTCACTAACCTCTCTGAATTTTTGAAGACCCTGGTAAATTATGTTCTGCACACAAACTTAATTTTATTTTTATATTTAATATTCCACTAGCAATGTTATCTGTTTGTACCATTGAATTGGTTGGTATATCTGAAATTATATTAATGAAATAGTATACAAAATTGTTTCATTATTATTATTTACTAAAATATTAACTGTAGTTAACAATGATTGTCTTATATTATAAGGAATTACCATTTACAGTGTTCAATGCCATATGTGTATTTAACAAATACCTTGTGTTGCTGTCTTCTTGTTCAACTTAAAATACAAAAGGGACACATATAATACTTTATTAATCAATGTATTATTATTTATGATTTTTTTTAAATTACTTAAATCGTCACAGGAAGCTGGACTCCACAATTCTATATCATACAATTTTTTTTTTCTGTTGTTTTTTACATGGTGTAAGTTTTAGATTGTTTTAGATAGTTCAGTAGTAGATAGGTCCAAGGTAATTTCAAATCTTTTTGCTTCGTTATGAGGTATTGCATAAATTTATGGAAAAAAACCATTTTAAAACTATTGTAAACATAAATTATACGAAAAAAATGTATATTTAGCTAATCATAGGTACTATATTGTAATATCAGATATATTTATATAAATATGCATATATAGTACAAATACTATACCTATGAGGTATCCATATATATCATTTTAGACAATATATTTTAATGAAATCATAGTTATTGTGTATAATTATAATCAGATATACTTACAATAGCCCTTATTACCCAATTTACATGGTTTTAAATAATCAAATTCAATTACATTTAGTAATGATATGCATCTACCATTTTTTTTTTCATTTTTTCTTGGCCAAGCACATTTTTGGTTTTTGTACCAATGTGAAGGTACAGCTTCAACTGAATCATCATCCTTAAAAACAACTACACACTAAAACAGGGGTACATTTGTGGAATCCAGCTAACAGGTATGATAATTTGTTTAATTTTATAGTTGATTTCAACTCACACATTTTTTTGTATCTATTTACAACTTGTTCTAATGTTTGTTTGTCTTTCTCGGCATTCTTTTTAATAAGCATATGTAATTTTCAAATGGAAATGCTGAGCAATTATCCAATAGTCCAAATTGGTCATAATCTTCATAACTATGTTTAAGACCATTAATGTTTTGCGAGATAGATGGCCATACATTTTTTCAAAATTTTTAACAAAATTATCTAAAAGTATACTGGAAAGGTACTTTGCATAATCAGGAATTAATAAAATTATTATTGACACACTTAAACCAAAAAAATGTTTCCATTGTTCATCTTGTAAAGCAGGTTAAGTTACAACTATACCAGTATAAAGTACAAAATTTCTATATTCAGTGGCTTTCAAAGAACTCACTTCAAGTAGTGTTTTAGGTTTCTTAGCAAATTCACAAGGTATGTGGATTTTCAATTTGTCTAATGCTTTAGACAATTCTTCAAATTTCTCAATTTTCTTCAATATTAGATTCCTATTGGCCTTTGGCCATAGCATTATACATTTTTGTACTGTCCCTAGGCACACCAAATGCATGTAGTCTAAAGAAAATTAAGTCACCACATCAAATATTGGCAATGTTGCCAAAAGAGAAGTGTTGTTGACATGATGTTCTTCTTGTGACTGATCTAAACAATTTTAATGAGTTCTTATTGGCAGATATCTTGTGGATAGCCTATTTGAAAAACAAATTCTATTGGCCAAATATTATCCTTTAATTTCACATTTTGTGCATGAATAAAACCCTGAATGGCTTTTTATCTTAATGATATATGATTTTGCAGGATCATCACAATAGATAGTTCAAATGGAAAAATTATAATTTTTACTATTAATATGAATATAATATATTATTTTGAACATTCTGATTTATTTTGTTAATAACATTGACAACACCAAAATTATGATATTTACCTGGTCATACCACACACAGATTAGGTTTTTTAGAAATTATTATTTTCATATGAAGTTGTTGGCAATTCAATTCAAACTATACTATTTAACCGTGATTCACTTTTATTAGGTACATTTAAAAAAGAAGAAATATCATTATTTACCACATCTTCATTGATATTAGTATCCCATAACTTGTTTTCTTTGTTTTGTTTGACTATTTAAATTTGATTGTTTTATAACATCTTATCAGATGACATTTTATCTGAATATGGAACACTATGGGTCAGAGTTGACACAAATAATTGTATAATTGAAAGGTATACAGAATACTTAATTATTTTATTTAAATGAAATATTAGGTACCAATATAGAAATTAAACTAATTAAATTTCAACTTTTTTTAGTTAATATAACTTGATAGTAGATATAAGCCTGGATTGATATTCCTATATTAGATACCATTGTTATAATACAAAAGATAGGTAGGTTGTGGGTATAGCTAGTACCAATCTTTTATTATACTATTATAAAATCAATATGTACTATTATATTACTATAATAACTAAATTGTATTCAAAATATATTTAAAATATAAATATTTTAAATTCATGATATTTAACTTTTAAGTAGATAGGTTTACAGAATGCATTACATTTTTAAATAAGTATTATGTACTTATGTAGGTACCTATACTTATATATTAGGTATTGTTGATTTTTATATTTTAATTTCAGGAAATATTCAATAAATTAAGAAGATAACCTATGAATTAATGTACTATACTAACAATCTTCTTATGGCCAAATGAAAATTCAATGGAACGTATATTATTATTTAATTATTGATGTCGATGTGATATTGTACATACCCGCAAAGTCACAATTCAGAACTCACAATCATAGACAAGTATACTAACAATGAAACATTGAGACTATAAAAATAATGAAACCATTAGCAAATAGTTTAGTGTGCTAATAATCAGGTCGGCCCGTTTTGGACGTATCGTCGTCTGGTTTTAATCCCCCTGCCTGTGTATAATTCGTTAGATTCAAACTAAAATAACCTTATCCGTTATCGGTAAATAATGCTATGGTTCCTTATCGGTTTATCGGCTAACCTTAAACGTCCCGTATACCAATATCTTATATAATATATCTTCGGTCCAAATGCCGCTTAATTATACCTGCACGCACACAATCGCTGTGTGTTTTAGAAAAATATTTCAGAACACAAATGCCAAATAGTTTCATCCAAACGCAGTGGCCTACATTGATTCATAAATAAATCAATTTGCCAATCGCACACAATAAAATATATTTTTAAAATAAAAATTATTATTTTGATAAAGCCTTGGTTTCCTACAATCGTGTATCCGTGATTGCGTGGTGCGCGATGCGTGATCACGTAAAAGTTGAAAACATGAAAAATAGTATTTGTGTTTATTAATAACACACACGCGTCATTATTCACGCGCACGATTGTCGATTCACGCAATTCAGTCGCGCAGTAGTCGCTACGAGGGCAACTTTTGCGTTACAGGCAATGCGGGATTGCATTATTTTATATAGGTACCTAATATTAAAATATTAATTTATTAATTATTATTAAAATCATTATTAATTAATTATTTTTAAAATATTTTAAAATAATTCAAATGACACTCTAAAATATTCCCTGAATCTAGTTTCATTGTAAATTAAACTATTTTAATTAAAGTACTGAAACGACCCTCCCTGCTCCGTTGACTAAACTTTTCATCGTTTTCATTACGTAAATGATTCGCCAGTAGCAATAGTTTTTCATCTGCTTCATCCTCCAAAATATTAAAAAGCATAACCACGTTCATTTTGATGTACTACTAAACATCAACTGACGTAAACCACGCAGTCGTAAACACGCATCATAGCAAAACACTTAAATCACGCATCACGCATCGCGCATCGCGCACCACGCAATCACGGATGCGCGATTATAGGAAACCAAGGCTTAATTATTTGAAAACTACTATTGTTAGCTACTAGTGTTTAAATAAAAGTTTGAAACCGGTTTAAAAATTAATTTTAAATACCGGTTAAAACCGTTAGGAAATCGATACCTTTAATATTATATATTATATATAAAAATCCAATTTTTTATCAATGTTTTTCACGTTTTTTTTTTATTAAATTGGGGAATTTTCATACGTGTTTTTCCGAAAACCGTAAGAGACAAAACTTTTTACCAAAAGACAAAAAAGTCTTAAAATAGGTCAATGAACGAGTTATCATAAACAGCGTTCCAAAAAGTGCGCAGTTTAAGGAAAAGCGCGCTAAAAACTGATAAGATTTTTTTTGAATATTTAACTGAACGCAAAACTATTAACACGATGATAAATGAAAAAATAAATGTAGAGTGATTTTTGTCACCCTTATTTTTGGGAATGAAACCACTACCTACTTATCATTTTTAAACGACAATCTATATAAAAAAGTCTACAAATATATGGAATATTGATTAAAATAAATTTTAGTGTCGAAATTTTTGATTTCCGTCAATCCATTAACAAGATATTCCAAATTTAAGTTTGTTTTGGAGGAGAATGGTGGGGTATGGTGTAGCGGTACGGCGCGCGGTGTGCTAATAATACACCACTATTCTCCTCCAATCTAAAACTAAAAATGGAATATCTCGTAAATGTTTTTATAGAAATCAAAAATTTCGGCACTAAAATTTATTTTAAATAATACTTCTTCTATTTATGGACTTTTAAATATAGTTTGCCATTTGAAAATCAAAAGTAGATAGTGGTTTCTTCCTCAAAAATATATGGGTGACAAAAATTATCATAAACATAAAATTGTAGAGCTGCTTATTTCTTAAATGTTCTAGAAAACAAGTTCTGAAAAAAATTAATACTTTCCGAGATAATGAATGCACCCATTTAAATGAATCACTTGGTATATTATATTGTTGACAAAACATCAACATCCAAAGAACTGCACCAACTCGATAGATTTCGGAGCTCAGTGGAGAATTTTGCGGGATACCATACATTGGCGGCCTTTAACAAATTCCAGTGGTGGACGGGGGGGGGGGGGGGGGAAATTGATTTAATAAAATTTATAATATTACAAAATAAAAGTCCTTTTTCGGTTAATTTGTTTTGCAAATCGGTCCCCTAGTTCCCGCCACATTATCATGACCATATCATAGATTCGAAACCTAGTGTTGCCAAAAAATAATTAATTCATTGATTTTTCTAGCTTTGTTACCACAATTATTAATCATAAAATAGTGTAAAAATAGATATATTTTCAAGTTTTTGTTGTAATATAATATAGGCCAAGAAGGGCAATCCTCTCATTGCTCCCTCTCCCCGTAGGGTCACTGACCTCATATACATTTATATAAATATATCTATATTTATTTATTTTATTTTCTAACGGACTTACTTTATTTTCATATAATTTCATATAATTTTATAAACTTTAAGGTCTTGTTAGAAATCTAAATTTTTCACAAAATGAGTTTAGGTACAAACAATATTTTATTATTCTGAGCCCACAGTTTGCTCCCTTTCCCTTCCAAGGGACTGTGCGCTCAGAATCGTATTTTCGTTAGAAATGGTATATCGTTGCTTATACATTATACAGATATAAGTTAAATTATCAATAACAGTAGCTGCACCCGTCTCTATTATCCTAGGACGTCTTTTTTTTGTGTTCAGTCGCGTTTAATAGTGTTGTCATAGATTTCAAATATTATATTTTTTATTGTTTCCCATTCCAATTAGTAACTAGTCAAACCGGTTATGGAAAACGTTATATGCTGATTTTTTAATTTATATAAATTTTCATAAATATCTATGTAGTTTATATGTGAGCAACTGGGTCTGTCTCTATTTATCAAATAGTGTAAAGTTTTTCTTTCGGTATCTACTGTGGTTATTTTAACGGGAATTAAATGTTCGTTTTAGAGAATGTGTGATGTATGGTCTCCGTAAATTTTTGATATTTCTTTGGATATAGGTGTATGACATAAATTTGTCGATATACAACGAGCTAGTAAATATATTTACCTCCAGTAAAAATAACCTGGGTTATTCTTACCCCCCCCCACCACAGGTATAAATACCCTGAGTTATTCTTCAACCTGGATCAAATACAGAACATAATTAAAGTAAATCGTTTATCAACTTATATTTTAATTGGTAAAGGTGATGTATGCTGATATTCTCCGGAAATTAGTGATGTAATGAAATTAAATCCGAAATAATATGTTAACTGTGTACCGCAGATGAGGTATATAGGTATTTCATATTTATTCTTTCATTTAATATTTTAAAACATAATTAAACTCAACATTATTAACTTATATTTAAATTTGTATAAGTCATTACTTCCATTAAAAATAACCTAATTTATACTTACCCTTGGTAAAAATTACCTGAATTATTCTTACCCCCAGTAAAAATAATCTGGGTTATTATTACCTCCTTATTTATACTAGAGAGGGTAAAATAAACAGCGTTGTGTTTTGTTATCGACAAGGAATACGTAGGTCAAGAAACTCAGTAGGGCATTATTATGTTTACGAAAAATGAGGACCAAACAAATGGGATCTATTTGATGACATAAGAAAGAAATCAAATCCTGTAAAAAAATTCAATTATCATCCTATGTGAATATTTAATTTATTTAGTAGAAATATTTTGTAATAATTGTAATATTAAAAATTATTGTATTCAATAAAAGGATTTTTTTTTTTTTTTTATAATTATTGTGGTACAAATTAATTTTATAGTGACCAAAATTTAAAAGATTTTAAAAGATTTTATACAAAAATAATGTGCACTTGTTATTTGTAAAATAATTTTATATTTTTCCCTCGATGTAGAATTAGTAAATAGCCCCTGATATTTCTAATATCGAAGGCTGGTGTGACATCACATTATCCCCTCCCAAAATGGTTTTTTGATAAAACTTAGCCCCTTTGGTTGTAAAAATTCATACAAATGACGTATTAAAGCATGGAATAATACAATTACCGAATTTTGAAAATGGGGGGGGGTTTTCGAAAGGGTTGGCGTGACGTACGTCTGTTTTTAATTTAAACTTTATGACACTAATTTGCGGCTAGCATCATTAGATTGGAAATATTCTTATTTATACATTTTGGAAATATCAGAAATAAAAAGCGAAATGTCTACCTTTAGTCATTTAAAGGTTACTAAATTTCGGGATTGGTCGGGAATCAATAAGACAAAGTCGGGGGGTGTGTGAAGTTAGCTCCCTGAAATGAAAATTTAGATTTCTCGGAAAGTGACGGAAACTGTTTGGTTACAAATTGTTTGATGTGGTTAAAATTAGTTACTAAAAGGTTACTTAATTTGGAATTAGTCTGAAATCGTTTGGATATAGTCAGGGGGCTAACTTTATGGACGTGACAAATCTAGTTACTATTTCATACAAATTATTTTAAAATGTTATGTTTACTTTACTATAACATGGCATATATATTGTTAAAAAGCAATAATATTAACCGAGCTCTGCTCAGAATCTTTTTTCATTAGCTTACGGATCTTTGCTTAGTGCATACAGATTAATTATGAATAATTGATGATAATTAATGATAAATTTAATAATTATGAAATACCGGAAAAAACCGTAAAATAAAATCTGACAAATTTGCTGCACTCCGTGTAGGCTTATGTTTTCTTCCGTAAATATTGATTCAGTAAACAAATAAAGAGATCTTTTTTGTCGAATTTTTGATTTTGTAGGAGACCAAGATAGTCGCTTTTTATGATTTTCTTTGTAGATTTTTGAAGGATTGAGCAAAACCAAAGGAAAATGCAGGAAGTACTGGAAAATTTAAGAAAATAATAATAATTATTTTAAATTTTATGATTTACTTTAAAATTATTAAACTTCATCTCGGTGATTAGTAGCTACCGAGATAAAAAAAATAAATATAGGTTATAATTTATAACCTATATAAGTAATTTTGGTGTAAATTCTGCACCATTTACCTATATTTGCCATGATGTACTATTAGGTACTATATTGTTTAGTTTTATTGTATTATAGATAGGTTTTTTAAAAACGTTTTAGAACTTTTGACTGGTTGTTTGTCAAGTTTCTTTGAACGCTAATTGTATAACATACATTTTTTAACTTAGCTTCTGCTGATAATATATGCATTGTATACTATATTATATTATATTATATGTATATTATATACAAGCCATTAAATAACGATCAAGACAAACACAATGATAAATATAACGTAGTAGTATAAATTTTATTTACAGGCATCCCATTTTTCATATAATATTAATAAATATTCATAAAATTATATTGGATCAGTACAAATTATGAAGGTTATAAGAAGTATAGTTAGCTGAAACACTTGCCACACTAATATTATTGAATATTATTTAATAATGGTTAGATGACGAATTTGCTATGGTAGATTTAGAAGTATATAATATCAAAGATTTAATCTGTGATAATATTAGGTATTTAAATTATTATTATTGGTTGGAAAACTAATATTATTTTACAGAAAGTTTTGTTGAACACTAAACTTGAATGATATTGAATAATATATAAGTAAATAAAGTGTATAATAATATAGTATAATAAATAAATAAAAATATTAAATTTCTGGTAGATAGTATAAATAAATAAAATAAGATAATATTTGAACAATTTTTATTAATTGTTCTAATTAATTGGATAAATACAGTGATAAAAATATTTTATTTTTTTTTTATTTTTGTTTGTAGTGTAATGAAATCGAAAGCAAAAGAAATGATCAATAATATTACAGCGAAGTATTGACAAACTACATTTCAACTCGATG